GACAATTTCACGTCGTTCCAGGAAGACAATATCGCTACGGCCCAGCGCATCTATGACGACGCGCTCGAGGCCAATGGACCCTCCACCGAGCTTCTCAATGCCGCGCTTAGCGTGCTCACGAACGCCCTGCGCATCCAGCGCGCGCTCGACTTTGTCGCGACCGAGTTCCCCAAGCACGTACGTCACTCACTCGAAACGTCTCCATCATTAACGCCAAACGTAGGACCTCGCACCGGACGCACTCACGTACAGAAGCCTCATGCGCATGTTTTTGCGCGCCAAGCGCATCAAGCGCGCCGAGGCGCTCATCAGCGAGGCTAAGGCCGCTGGCATCGCACCTGATGCCGACTTTTACGGACACCTCGTCGACTACTATGCCCGGCAGAACCGTCTGCGCAGCGCGCTCTCGACGCTCGAAGAGATGGACCGTCTTGGCCTGAACCTACACCCGAAACTCGCGTTCAACCTGCGCAAACTCACGCAAAAATACCGCGTGTACACGGAGCTGCTCGACGAAGACCCCAATGCGATTCACGCCATGAGCCACCATGGGCTCATGACCATGCGCAAGGAGCGCGCGCGCCAGATAGCGGCCAACCGCGCTGCGGGCCGCAAGTTCTTCATCCCGCGCCGCTCCGACGTTTAAAGATATGTATAGATTACGTAGAGAATGATGATATAATGCACAAGCGATTCAACAAGCGCGCTCGTTGGTGTCGCAGCAGTGGTGGCTTGGCACGATTAGGCCCACACCTTGAGCAATGTGTCCCAACTGCCCGTGCAGAGTGCCTGCCCCGTCGGGCTCACCCTAGCATTTTGTCAGACGGACCCGTGGCATATCGCGATGCTGCGTACCCGAGGCACGACACGCGGTTCTCGTGGCCCGTGAGCTGGTACACGTGCTGGCCCGTGTTGCTGAGCGTGTCCCAGCAGTAGCAGTTGTAGTCGTCGTAGCCCGCAAAGAGGAACCGGCCAGACTTGGAGAACGACACACTCGTGATACCGCATAGGATCTTGTCGTTCGAAAAGTTGTTGACCTCGCCGTACGCACGTAGGTCAAAGAGGCGGCAGCTCGAGTCATCCGAGCCCGTGCCAAGCGCCGTGCCGTTGGGGAAAAAGTCGACCGAGTTAATATCCGACTCGTGGCCATGAAATGAGTGCGTGACCTTGCCCGCGCGCAAGTCCCAGACCTTTCAAGCACGGGTGTAGTTCTCTGAATTGTGAGTCTAGTAGCACCTTGGCTGTTGAATCGCACGAGCCAGAGATGAACATGTTTGGGTGAAGCGCGCTGATGGCCACCGACATGACGTCGCCTGTATGGTCCTTAAAAGTCGTCTTGACCTCGCCCGACTCCACATCTAGAGGTGGACACATCGTGCGCTTTTCTGCTTTCGATCTTAATGCGTACCCCAGAGGATGCATGTTGAGTCTCCCGAGCTCGTAATAATGTTGGTCTCGTCGATAAAGCGGCAGCAACTCAAGTAGCCATCGTGGGCTGCAAGTTCCTTCGCGGCTCGCATGACCTGAGCTTGCCTACATCAACGTGAGGCCACGGTCGGTGGCGGTGCAAATGCCATACCCTAGGTGATAGATGGAGCAGAGGTTGTCGAGACCGCCGCATGCCACCATGTTGCGCTGCTTTTGCTCGTACGCGCATGTCATGACCCAGGACGACCGCAGCGGAATTGCCTGGACCTTGTTGGTCGTCATGGCGTTCCAGACGATGAGCTTGCCGTCCTGAGACGCGCTGACAAGGCTGGATGAGTCGCCGCCCCACTGCATGGCGTAGATTTTGCCAAAGTGGCCCTTGAGCACGCGGCGGCACTTGGGCGCAGCCGGGATCGCCTTGGTGCCGTCATTCTCAAAGCCGCCGTTGGACTTTTGGCTGCGCACCGCCTGGATCTTGTCCTTGAGGCCCTCGCACTTCTTCTTGAGCTCCGCGACGTCGCCCATCGTCTTCTCTTCTTCGGCGCAAAGAGGCAACTGGCCCGAATTAGGCCGCCGACCGTTGGGCAGGAGTTTCGGATTTCGCCGCAAAACAAGCCGCGCCGCATAAGTGCGCCTTGCATCCCTCTGCGCTAAGTGCGGCCGCCCTTTCGTCGTTTCACCGACTAGAATAGAGGGAGGAAGCGACTAACTAAAGAATGCGCGTCGTTGCGTCTGTCGCGGGCGAATCTAGCGTGAACTGGATGACGATCGCACATGTCGCGCACCAACGTCGTCAATCCACGCAAGGATCGCGCGCATGGCCGTGGCAGTCATCCCAAGTATTACTGGAGATGCATGGTCGTGAGAGGAGCGACCAATGGGAAAATTTCCGCGTTCTTCGCTGCAAACAAATCGCTCGAATCGTATAAAATGCAGCAAAAGAGCCAATCACAGCGCGCGAGTCGGGACCATACAAACGTGACACATGCTTGAGTTTAGTTTCCATCGGCGCACTGACTTCGCAAGAATGGCCGGCGACACGACGCCCGGCGCTCCGTACCAGGCAGCGACCGCTTCGCCGAAAGCTGCGCCACCAGCCAGCGACTTTCGCCACGTGCTTTTGAACCCACGCGGTGCTGAGGCCCAAGGGCCTTTCTGCTCGAACGTCGTCATTACGTCCAAGTACACGGCATGGTCCTTCCTGCCCAAGTTCCTCTATGAGAGCTTCAAGAAGCTTGCCAACGCGTATTTCCTCGTCGTGTCCGTGCTCCAGTGCGTGCCGGCGATCACCAACACTGCTGGGTACGTATTCTTGGACGAAAAACAAGGTGGTTAACGCGTGCCATAGGTTGCCGTCGTCGCTGCCCGTACTCCTGTTCATCCTCGCCGTAATTCGCCTGCCACACGTATAAAGCATTCATTTTGAGGCGTCAACGTGCTAGGTGGATGGCGTGCTTGCGATCATCGAAGACCGTCGGCGCCACCTTGCCGACGAGGAAGCCAACTCGGCCAAGTGTCAAGTCGTGGCGGCGAATGGCAGCCTCGAGGCAATCTTGTGGGCCAACCTTACAGTTGGCTCCATTGTCAAGCTTGGAAATCGCGACACGGCGCCAGCCGATCTCTTGATCCCCGCTGTGCACGAAAATGACCCCGACAACAAGGGCGGCATCTGCTACGTCGAAACCAAGTCGCTCGACGGCGAGACGAACCTTAAGCTCCGACAGGCGCTTGAAACGACGCTCGAAGCTCAAACCGAGGCTGAGATACTTGGACTGCACGGCCATGTCGAGTGCGAGCAACCCAACAAAGCTATCAGCCGCTTCTCGGGCACTGTCCTTGTCGACGGCATGGAGAAGACACCCATTCGATCAAAAACATCCTCTTGCGCGGCTGCCAGCTCCGCAACACGGAGTGGATGTATGGCCTCGTGCTCAACACTGGTCCGGACACGAAGATCATGCAGAGCGCGTCCAAGCCCGTGGCCAAGTGGAGCTCGATCAACGACCAAGTCAACGTCATGATCCAGTGGCTGCTGCTCATGCTTCTCCTTGTCTGCGCTATCGCTGCATCGACGCAGTATGCCTGGGTCCGTTTCTTGTCAAAGCATTGCATGCAGAAACGAAATACTGTATGTAGGAGCAATCGTTCAACCAATATGCGTGCCATGCCGACGACAACTCGTGCTACCTTGACACGAACAAATACGCGGGCTTCAGTCGCTGGTATTATGATTATACGAACGCGACCAATACTCACACTCGCATTAGGATCGTGGCGTGCGGTGGCTACTTCCTCCTCATGTATCAAATGATTCCCGTTTCGCTTTACGTGACCATCTCGACCGTCATGTTTCTGCAAGCGATCTTTATGGCGTGGGACATGGACGTCTACTATGCAGCTCTCGGTACGTTGCTGGAAGTCTCAGAATGCGTCTCTGAATCGTTGCTCCAGACGTGCGCATGATTGTTCGAACCATGGGCCTCAACGAAGAGCTCGGCCAGATCTCGTACATCTTCTCGGACAAGACGGGCACCCTCACGTGCAACGTCATGGAGTTTCGCAAGTGCTCGATCAACGGCGTCTCGTACGGTCTTGGCACGACCGAGATTGGTGCGTCGATATTGGAATGTATTCGTAGTCCACCTTGGCCTAATGGTGTTGTACGCAGGTCGTGCTGCTCTCAAGCGCAAAGGCGTTCCGGTCGCGGAGCCCTCGTCCGTCGTCAAGCCCGGGACTCAGATTCCGTACGTGAATTTCGAAGATCCGCGCCTCCACAACAAGCTCAACGTACGACTGCAAATTGCACACGAATGGTCTTACACTCGACATATATAGACAATCCCGCTCAACGACAACGTCGAGTTATCCAAGGAGGCCGACTTTTTCCTGCATCTGGCGATCTGCCACACGGTGATCCCGGAAGAATATACGGACAAGCACGGCCAAGTCGGACTTCGGTTCGAAACTCAAGTCAATCTCCATGCCCTCACTCGGTGTACCGTGATAGATACTCTGCGTCGTCGCCTGATGAACAAGCGCTCGTCTCGGCGGCCAAATTTTTCGGCTTCTCCTTCGAGTCCCGTGGGCTTGGTGTCGCCCGCATCCGCATCACAAACAAGGCGCTTCTTCACGCCAAGGGCGAGAGCGAGCTCTGGGAGTACCAGGTCTGCGACGTGCTCGAGTTCAATAGCGAGCGCAAGCGCATGAGCTGCGTTGTGAAGGACCCACGAGGCGAGTATCTGCTCTTGACCAAGGGTGCCGACAATGTCATCGCGCCGCTCCTCTCGTCAAGCCTGAACGACCCGGACATGATCGCAGCCACATTTAGCCAGCTCGAAGCGTTTGCCGACGACGGTCTCCGGACGCTCACGATTGCAAAGAAGACGATCAGCCGCGAAGAGTACATGCAGTGGTCCCAACGCTACCGCGTACGTTCTGCGTCCAACCTCTTGTAGTTTTGTCATTGCAACCGTAGGCGGCGTGCGCATCGCTCGACGAGATCGAAAAGCGAAAGCGCGGTGACGCCAACGACATCGACCGGCTCATGACGGCGATCGAGCAGAACCTCGTTCTCCTGGGTGCGACAGCAATTGAAGACAAGCTCCAGGATAACGTGCCCCGTGCGATCGCACGCCTCATGGAGGCCGGCATGAAAGTGTGGGTGCTCACGGGCGACAAGCAAGAAACTGCCATCAACATCGCGTACGCGTGCCAGCTCATGGACAACGACATGGAGCAGTACATCTTCAACATGGACGAGTACCCAGACTTGGATGCGATTGCGGTGCACCTACGCGAGTGCTGGGCGGCAGTCGAGTCGAATCCGGGCGTCCGCCGGTCGCTCGTCATTGATGGCGACGCACTTGAGCTCGTCATGCAAAATATCGACGCGTGCGTGGTGTTTCTCAAGGTGGCCATGCGCTGCGACAGCGTCGTCTGCTGCCGCGTGTCCCCGTCGCAAAAGGCTGAAGTCGTCGCCCTAGTCCGCAGCAACAACCTCAAAGCGCGGTATCTTGTCTCTCTCACCTATTTCGCAGCGTTCATGGGTATGTCTAGGACGCTCGCGATCGGCGACGGCGCCAACGACGTGGCCATGATCCAGCGTGCACACATCGGCGTCGGCATCTGCGGCCAGGAAGGCATGCAAGCTGTCAACTCGAGCGACTACGCGATCGGCCAGTTCTACTTTTTGGAAAAGCTCCTGCTCCACCACGGCCGCCTCAACTACATTCGCATGTCCAAGCTCGTGGGGTACATGTTTTACAAGAACATTGTCATGGTTCTCGCGCAGTACTACTACCTCTTTGCGACTGGTACGGCGTTTGCGAACGCACTCGGTGCTGAGATGGAATAGGCTCGTCCGGCCAGAAGGCCTACTCCGAGGTCGCGTTCCAGCTGTACAACCTCTGCTTCACGTCGCTTCCGATCATCGTGCTTGGCGTCTTTGATTACGACGTTCCGTGGAGCGTTGGCGCGCAATTCCCGGCCTTGTACCGCGTCGGCCTGAACGGCGAGCTTTTCAACACACGCGTCTTCTTTCAGTGGATCTGTGCAGCCGTATTTGAGTCGGCCGTCATCTTTGTCTTCGCTATCTACGGCTACAACCAGCTCGAGCACGGTATCGGCGCCGCCAACATCCAGCAGTACGGAATCCTGATCTTTGCCTCGTCGTCTTTGTTTGCAACCTCAAGGTACAGCCATGCCCACCACGCAAACTTATTCCACGCACGTAGATCATCGCGATGCAGTCGTCGTGGACGGTGTGGGGCGGCGTTCTCTGGTTTCTTGGTGTTCTCTCGTACATCCCGGCGACCTTGTACATTGAGTCTGTCTGGTACTGGCTCTCGCCCTCGGACTATGGCACGACCCAAAACACTCTCAACGGTACGATGAGACACGGGACCATGGGCATGATCTGTATTCAATAGGCTCAACGTTCTGGCTCGTGATTCCTGTCGCTTGCATGATGTGTCTCTTGCGCCACTTTTCTTGGATGGCGTTCCAACGGTCGTTCTACCCATTCTTGTGGCAAATTGTCCAAGAAGTACCATCAACTGTGTTCATGCAACAGATCGATTGACGCCGCCTATTTCGTAGAAATACGTGCTCGGTCTGATGCCCAAGTCGACAGAGAGTCCAACGGAGCTCGAGTCTGGCGATTACGAAGCCATGAATGACAAGAACAGCACGGTGGCGTCCTTGCCGCAGCGCCACCTGCAAGATGACCATGATTACCTCAACCGGTTTTCGCGGAACAGCAGCAGCCTCAGCCGCCACGTAAAACGCTCCGGTCACCACTCATTGTTCACCATAAATCGGTGTAGAGCATGTCGTCGTCCAAGTCATTCTCGCGCCGCAGCAGCGGCTTTGCCTTTAGCCAAGACACCCAGTCGGCGATGGCGGAATCTGTCATGACAACCATTAACGTTGGCGGTGCGTGACTGAAACCCTGCCACTGCTGCAACACCCCCGATAATCTAGGCTCCAAGGCGGCGGCGATCCACGCGGCAGAAAGCCGGACGCGCTCGACCCGCAGCGACCAACGCAACACTGACTATGCGCCGACCTCGAACAAGTCGGGCACCCAAGGGCTCTTTATCTAGCTAACCCTTGTTACATGCCGACCATTATACGTTGCACCGAGTGTATCTGTGGAACTTTCAGTTTGTATGGCCGGCATGGAGCTCAAACGCACGTTTTGCTACGGAAAATCAATGCGCTAGTGAAAGATAAAGCCGTGATTCATGGTGGGGCATTCAACCTTAGTATTGTCGTCATTCGACTGCTTCGTGCGGCCCTTAAAGCTCAAAAGAAAAGTCCTGTCACATTCCTGTGGCAATCCAGGTTGAAGTTGCTGTTGGGTGGAACCACTGATGCGATTGTAGTTTCCATATCCAAGTGCACATGATTCAACGTCTCGTGCTCTGCTACCGGCAATACGAGACATACAACTGGTTTGTGACGGTTCTTGTGGGCGCAGTCGTTGACCATCACTCACATTCACCCGCGACTGCACGAGGAAGCAAGTACTCGCAACTTAAGCTCACAATTTCATTTGCGCCGTCGCCGCCTTCCACGTTCACTACCACCCAGCAACCATGATGACCACGACCACGATATCGACCCAAGCACGAACGACGGAGCCGTCGTCCGAGGTTCCAACCGGGTGCCGCGGGCCAACTTCGTGCTTTTTCGTCGCCGCCGGCTCAACTCGGTCGTGTGTTCCCGGGGGCAACGAACCATTGGGCGAAGAAAAACATACCGGGTCCTGCCTTCACGCCGTACCCGGCGCCAGCTTGCTGTGTCATGATGCGGCGTCAATTCAGTATTACGCAACTGACGCGCTACGTCAATGTTAAAGCTGCACTGACGGCTGTCGCGCCGTGCCAGGTCATTCTCTCCCTCGATCGGTTTGCACGACACCCGGGTGCTCGTCGCCTGGATCTCGAAGCCGACGCTCTTCAGATACTGCGCGAGCCCAACGCCGGCGGTAACAGCATCGTGTCCGAGGCGCTCTCGATGCAATACATGCACGAACTCCTTGGTGCCTTCGACGTCGTTACCGAGATGCGTATCAAGTACTGGAGCGAGAACTGGAAGAAAGTCGACTACCTTTGCTCACTGGCACCCGACTGCCGCATCGCCGTCAGCGTCACACGCGCCATGAAGTTTCCGGACCCCGCAGCATGGACGGCAAGCGACGCAATGCACTTGCTCACGAAGAAGCTTTTTGGCCTCGTCGTGGCGCGCGCTGGCGTCTGCAAAGCCCAGCGCTACACCAAGTCGATCCTGCATATTTGGTGCCAAACCGACGCAATTGCAGCCTCAATTGCCAGTGTCTACGAAGCCGTCGTGACAGAACTTTGCATCACAGAGAACGTCGTCCTGGTCGCGACGGTCGCCGCTGCCGAGTCGTGCATCTTCTTTGACGATCCAAGCATTTTCAAATAAAATTTAAAAGAGATGTTTGCAATATCTGCGCATTTGATGGCTCATCTAGTTACAAGCTCTATCGCATCTCTCGACTTGATGGATAGTTGTAGTACCGTTCTCTAGTTAGCCTCGCAAGAAGCGAACGAGAAGCTCCAAGCTCATGGGGTGATATGGTAGCGTGTGATGCGTGGCATTGACGACCTATAGAATTGATGAGGTTGGGTTCGACACACGGTTTAGTACAAGGTGCTGATATTCACCAGGCATGTGCGTCTCATCGACCGAGACGACGCCGTCTGTCGGATATTGCCACTGATTCCATGGGTTAAGCGAGAGAGACCCTGCCAGGATCATCGAGCGGCAAAGCCTTGGCAGCTTCCCGAGGCGTGCGTCCAGAAACGCTGGCGACATTGTCGATAGCTCGTCGATCGCAACGCTCGAGTCGATGATCGAGTTAAGCACCGAGTAATACGCGCACCTGCATGCAATGTAGTAGCGTACTTGTGGCTCAGGATCGAGGTTACCCGCGGTTGGGCGGCGCGAGCATGACGATCTTGGTCCGAGTCGTGTCCCAATCAATGTACCGAAAGGCCTCCTAATGCAATAGTTGGGGTGTAGGCCGGCGCCCAAAGCCGCAATCGATTGCACCCGAAGCACGAGCGCGCCGTAGCCGTGTGTCACAAAGTAGCACGACTCCATAGAGCTGTACGGTTTGATCGTGTGCAGGAGGTCGAGCAGCTCTACGCAGCGAGTGAATCAATCAGTGCGATCAAGACGCAATACCAAGCCCCGACTCTTGAAGGCGCTAGAGGACGCGGCGCATGAGGCGAGCATGGCAAAGACGATGTCGCACCTGCGTGTTGGGGTCGTAGCGGAAAGGCCGAACGCCGAACTTGCCGCCGACGGACGTGCCCAAGAAAGCCTCAAGCGGAATGAGCTGGCGGCCACGGCCACAAACGTCGTGCACGGTCACGAGCACGGGGCGAGCGACCGCCGCGAGCGCTGCCTGCGATGGCACGAACGACCCCATCGCGTTTCTCTGATGCCAGCGCGTCCCACCTTTCCGGAAGATCCGCTCGCGTATCCGGATGACTGTTGGACTTTTTGCAGCGAAACCGGCGTGGTCAGTTTCAAACGATGCGCCGGACGAGCAACCACACCGCGGTCGAGAAGATCCACCCCGAGGAGCAAATCCGAGCAGTTGAGTTGGCCGCGGCGGCACCAACGCGGACGCCATCGGCGTCACGTCTCCGTACCCCGGGCGGAAAGGCTTACGGAAGCATGCGCGAAGCCGTGTGCTACCTCACCTTTCTCGTTGTGTTTGGCATAGTGACGGTGTACAACCGGGGCACCTCGTCGATGTTCTACTACAGCGATAGCGTTGCTCGTGCGGTGGGCGACACATCGTTTCCGTCGGGCGACGATTCGAACGTCGACATTTCGCTTGCCGGCGTCGAGACATTGGGGGACGTGTGGAACTGGCTGCAAGGACCAGTCGCCAATACATTTTTCCCCACAACGGCTTCACCCGTGCTGGGTGCCAACCAAGTCATCGGCAACGTCCGCTTGCGTCAAGTGCGCGTGAAGCCCAACTCATGCTCACCCCAGAGTCAGTATGCGACCTTGGTGTCCTACTGCTACGGCGCCTTGTCGCCGTCCAGCGAGTCGACAGTGGGCTTTGGGCCGGTGCTCAACTCGGATGGCGTTTCTGCGTATGCCGCGTACACGTTCGCCTCGACTTACTTTGGCGCTTCCAAGTCGTACGCGCAACTCTTGCAGTGCATCAGCGGCTGCGAGATTGCTGTCGGTGGTCTCTACGGCATCGATAAGGCGCGGTACGCAGCTGCTTACACCAACACGTGCTCTCTCAGTTGCACGTGCTTCTATTCGGGTGGCAACTGCGTCGCGCCATCGTCGTCAGCGCCGTCGCCGGTCTACATATACAACTGGACGAGCTCGGACGTGACGCAAAGCAATGCCCTGCAAGGACTCTTTGGATCGATTCCAGGCTCTGGCTTTGTGGTCGACTTGCCAACGAACGTCACGGACGCGCGCTTGGTCCTTCGCGCGCTCAAATCGGCAAAGTACATTGACATTGCGACGCGAGCTGTCGTGCTTGAAGCCGCCATCTTCAACCCCTATTTGGAGCTCTTCAACCTCGTGACAGTGGTCCTCGAGCTTCCACCGACCGGAGGTGTATACACTAGCTTCACGTCCTCAGTCGTCGAACTTTCTGCATATTCGTCGAGTGCCGCGGGCAAAATCTTTTTTGAAGGACTCCTGGTGATCGGTGTCGTTCTCTACACGCTCGAGCTGCTCTTTGGTATGCTGCGCCACTCACCGCGCAAGTACTTCAGCTCGTTCTGGAACATTGCTCACGGGATCAACATTGCTCTGTTCATCGCTGTCATTACGCTCCGCCTTGCGGCCATCAATAGCGTCTACGGCGCTACCATCGACTGGTCGACGATCGATACGGCTAGCGTTCTCTCCAAATTGCACTTTCTCTCGACACTCGGTCGCCAAGAACGCTCCGTAAACGCGATGAACGCGCTCTTGACGTGGGCCGTCGTGTTCAAGTACGCTCAGGTACCAATAGTCGGCTCGATGACAGCATCCGAGACTGTCTGCAATAGATGTCACAGAGCATGTTTCTCCTCTTGCGCGTCCTCGCCAAGGCCAGCGCGGACCTTTGGAGCTTCCTTCTCCTTTTCTGCATTTGTCTCCTAGGCTATGCGCAGGTAGTCACCGTTTTGCCCGGAATATGTATGGCTGCTCACGACATCATTTCTGCAGGCGGGCTTTGTGGCCTTCTCGACGCAAGCACCATCCTTCCACACCTTTGGCCAGGGCCTCGTGACACTCATCGAGGCGCTGCGCTTTCGCCTCGACTATGCAGAGCTCGCGGCAGCCAACGCCGGCTTCGCGCCCGTGTTTTTCGCGTCGTTCTACATGCTCGTCATTCTCATCGCGCTCAACGTCTTTGCCGCGATCCTCCATGAAGCCTACGCGACCATGGACAAGGACCTTGTGTACAAGTACGCCTTTCCGTTCCCGCACGGCGTGCTGGCGGCTGTCGGCTTTACGCTCCAGCGCACCTTTGTCGCCATCAAGTACGGGCGCGAGGCCGCCAACGCCATGATGCAGCAGCACGCGGCCGCACCACCTGCCGCGGTTCTCGATCGGAGCCTCAAGAAGGGCGACGTGCACCCGTGGATGATGATGGAGATGCAGGCGCTCACGGAGAAGGTCCAGGGCATGCTCTCGGCCAACGACGAGAAGAAGGCGCAATTCGAGACGATGGAAGCGATGCTCCGCGCGATCGAAGACACTTGCATGGAGCTCAAGGTCGCGGCCAAGCCGCTCGCGACCTAACTCTGTGTATAAATGCAATTGTATGTGTAAATGCAATTGTATTCTTTTCTCTTCGATATATCCTTCCTCGACATGGCTACTTGATGTCGTTGATGCTCATCGAGCGCCGGGGCACGTTGCTCGGCTCTTGGCGATGCGAGTGATTGGTGGCAATGAACGACTCGACAAGCGTTGTTTCCTCGTCGCAGCTGAACGCATAGCCCGTATTGAGCCGCTGCAGCGTCGCACGCCGGTCGAGCTGCTGCGGTCGACTCAGTGTCGTTGCCATCGTGTCGGCGACCGTGTCTTCAGCCAAGTTGAAGCGCGACCGCTCCTCGGGCGTGATGTCGTCGAGCGTCATGCTCAGGTCGGGGCGCGGCGCCTCCTCCATATGCGTGATCGTGAGCCGATGCGCCTTCTTCTTTTCAATCATGACACTCTACACAAAGCATAAGGAAGCCGTCCTATGGCTCATCAACGACCTCTTGGAGGATCTGGAAAAGCTCCGGGTAGAAGAGTCGCTGGAACTGGTTCCATGCAAAGTGCCGGCCGAGCGCGAGCGTGCAGCCAATGACGAGGAGCAGCCAGTACGAGCCCGAGACGAAAGTAGGCACGAACGCGCCGAACTCGTCGTAGCTTACCTTGAGCTTGACAAAGTACGGGATCGCCGTGAGGCAGAGAAAAGCGATGAGGAACCACGAGAGGACGCTGCCCCACCACGTGATGCGCGGCACCCACGTCCAGTTGCACATGATCAGCGTAATCTATCGACGCAAATGAGCTCCTATGCACTACCGGAACACACGCACCTTGAGGTTGACGATGAGCACGGCCAGTGTGAAGGCCACGATGCCGTACTCGACGCGCGCTTCGCTGCCAACAGAGCTGTGTCTTGGGTTGTAGCCGTAGACCATGACGAGGAAAATCACCATCGACTCGTACAAGGCCGCGCAAAGCCACCGGAAGAACGTGTAGTAGTTGAAGAGTTGGCGCTGCGGCCCCACGCCGTAAAGCGCAGGGTACTTGAGGCTCATGTGATCGGGTAGGTCCTGGTCCAGGACGCCCAGGACGACGATGGGAAGACCCGTGAAGAAAATGTTGTAGACTTGAACGCCGATTTCCCAGTAGACCTTGGAGCCCGACGCGCCGCTGAGAAACCCATACCTAGGGTCCACTAGGAGCCAATCCATGACGTTTGCAAATGGACTTACCAGTACTGAGCGAGCACGAGCGTGATGTTCTTGTAAAACATGTACACGACGACCTTGGAAATGCGCAGGTAGTTCCACCGACCATGCACCAGCAGCAATCGCTTCAGAAACCGGAACTGCGCGATGGCATAGTCGCTCGAGTTGACCGCCTGCATGCCCTCTTGGCCCGAAATACCAATTCCCACGTGGGCAGCTTGTATCATCGCCACGTCGTTGGCACCGTCACCGATGGCCAGCGTTCTGTGTCAACCCACTGCATAAGATATGATTCAATGCAGGCTCCCGTACCGAGCTTCGGGGATGTTTTCGCGGATGAGGCGCACCATGTCCGCCTTCTGCGCCGGCGACACGCGGCAGCAAATGACTGCGACGCAAAACTGGGCGAGCCCCAGAAGATCCATCTTCATGTGCGGCTTGAGTGCAATCTCGAGGGCCTCCTGCGACAAATGTACCAATGTTGAAACGTGCAGTGCAGGAGTATATACTTACTCCGTCAATGACGAGCGCAAAGTCTTCTTTCCGTTCTTCGCAGCGTAGTCCTCGGCTGCCAGCTTGAGAGCTTGACGAATCAAGTCTGGCGTCGAGCAGTTCTCCATGTTGATGATGACTTGGTGGATCGAGTTGTCCAAAAGAGCGCAGGCTACACAACATCACGTGAGCAATTTTACTCACGGTACGATTGGCATACCGTAGCCAATGTTGATGGCCGTTTCCTCTTTGTCGCCGGTGAGCATCCAGACTTTGATCTTGGCCGCACTTAGCGCCGAGAGGCAGTCAGGCACACCGTTCTGGAGCTTGTCCTCGATGGCCGTCGCCCCAATGAGGTCCAGGTTGGACTCCATCTCTTCCATGAGGTCATCAATTGCGTTGGGCTCGCCTAAGTTTCGAGGATTTAGATGAAATGGTATTTACCGTATTGCGCACCGTTTTTGCGCTTCTCGAGCTCCGGGATTGAGCCAGACACGGATCGAAATCTGGCTGCCCAGTCCACAAAGAAGGCTTCGTCGAGTCGCTTCATGGCAATAGCGAGGGTGCGAAGACCGTCGTCAGCGTACGTTTCCATATGTTGCGACGTGATCGCCTCGAGCGCTTTGGACGCGGCCGAGAGGCGCTGGTAGATCATCATGTCGGCGCCCTTTGTGTACAAGTAGAGCTCGCCCGTCGGCAGGCGCGTCACGACCGACATGCGCTTCCGCGTCGAGTTGAACTCGAGCACTTCGAGCACATCGTACGTCTTCTTTTCTCCGCCAACGTCCAAGATGGCCTTCCCGACCGCGCGCGACTCGAATTTGTAGCTATACATTGGATTTCAGAGTGGTTATGCTCGACCATAGCATCGTACCCCATAAACTGAGCACCCGCTACCAGCGCCTGCTCATCGGGCGATGACGCCGAGAGACGCACTTCGCCATTGTCCAGCTTCTCGGGAATCACCGTGTGGCACACGGCAAGATGCTCGAAGAAACGATGCGTACGCTCCTATACAAGTAGGTGAACAGAGCAATCGAGGAGACATTGAGGCACCTCTTGCTCGGCCCCGTGCTTGCCTTGCATCGCCTCGGTGAGCTTTGGGTCGACGAAGTTGACGTAAGGGATCTGCTTGACACCCGGCTCCATCTTTGGCTCGGGTGGAATTGGCTTGCCCGCTCGCTTGAGCGCCGCCCGACCTAAGTTTGCATCGTGAAACTTGAGCGATAAAGGTGTACAACGTACCGATCTCGGTAAGACCAGAGCCGTACGAGACGCCGTTGATAGAGCACTTGCGAAAGTCCATGACGTTGCACGTGAGCGTGCCCGTCTTGTCCGAGAAGATGTACGAGATCTGGCCGAGCTCTTCGTTAAGTGCCATCGTGCGCACAATGGCCGGCGTGTCCGTCTCGGCGTGGTACATTTCAATGTCCCAGGCCATGAAGCTCGACTGGAGAAACTTGACTGTCGTGAGCGACACGTACAGTGAGATCGGAATGACTTGGTAGAGCAGGAGAAAGTAGTAGAAGAGCATCGTAAACCACGCTGTGACCACATCGCCGGTCGTCACGAGCACGACTTTGTCGACAGTGGCGGTTCCGTGGAGATACCACGCTTCCTTCGCGATTTCGTTCTGCCACGTCACAAAGACCGTCGCCGCGATCGCGCACAGAACGATGAGCCCGATACAGAGGATGCCGATCATCTTGTTCAGCGTCAGCATGACATCGCTCCACTTGTTGGGCGGCGACGACGCGCTCTGCATGATCTTGGTGTCGCTACCCGTGTTGAGCACGACGCCGTAGACCCAGTCCGTATTGCGGAGCGTGCAACCACGAAGTAACACGTTCTTGATGCTGAGAGGCTCGTTCGGGAACGTCTGGCCAGCCACCCACACGTCAATGTTACCCGCAAACTTGTTGATGAACGGGTTGGGCGTCTCGCAGCATATACTGCCCTTGAGCTTGTCGAGGTCTTGCGCCTCGCGCATGATGGCCATCGTCGCTGGCAGCGCCTGGCGCAGCTTGAGGTTCGTCTCCCCATCCAGCGACTTGGTCTCCACGTAGCAAATACCACTCGGCACGGCGGGGTCGGGCTCGGCCACGGAGAGAATCAGCACGTCAGCAGGAATGACCTCGCGGTTGCGAATCTCCAAGACATCACCCACCTATACAGGTCTCTATATACGATCTTGCGTCGAGGCAGCGTCGTACCTGCACTTGCGACCACAGGCGATCGACGATGACGTTATCGACAAGTACATGGCAGGTGGCCGAGTTGGCTGCGAAGTCCGAGGCATGGCGGCGGCGATCTTCCATGATGGCAAAGACAGCGTCAATGCAGATGACGAAGAAGAGCGTCGGCGCGTTAGTGGGCAGGCCGTACGTGTTGGAGATCGGCTTGATCGTCTGCAGGATCGAGACGACGAGGAAGAAGAGGTTGGCAACCTTGCAAAAGCTCTCGAAGAGGAACTTGGGCAAGAACGAGAAGATGGTGTACTTGGACGTCACGACGACGTTGGTGCACGTGGCGTACAGCGCCTTGTTTTGGTCGTTGTCGTTGAGGAAGACGCGCCGGACGTCGCCGTCCACTGCGACGGCGCCCGATCCCGGCGTCTTCACGCGTCGGTAGAGCTCCTTGGCCTTACCATCGCCCGAGGACGTACGGCCCGACTCGTCGGCGGCCTCCTTCAGGCTCTTCCGATCGTCCCTCGAGCTGCTCATGCTCGCTGATGGCAGTCCGCAACTGAGGGGGAAAACCGCTTGGGCCTATATTTATCCCAACGCCATCGCACTTTGGAGGAATTACCGGCCATTCGAAACGCTATCCCTCGAATTTGAATACAAATACCAAGTGGAATCGAACATGGCGCATCGCACTTAGCCGAAAAGAATAGCAATCCAGCCAGCGTACAATTACACATAGCGCCCTACAAAAGTCAAGTCATAACCAAGCGGCATATCCCAGCACAACCCCACAGCAGTGTTCGCTGGTGCCAGCCGTTGCAAGAAAGGAATACCCCGCTACAAGCTCCTGGCAAGACGGGTCATTCCGTGCCTACCAGCGGTAGAAGTGTATACTAAGAGAATACTGATTTATCCGGATCCGCTAGTCCATCGAATCCTAAGGGCTGGCAGATTATTCGAAGCGTCCGATGGCCGAGTGGGTGCTCTTCTGGGGCTCGCTCCTCACGGCCTTTGCGCCCATCAGCGCGCTCTTCCTCCTCGTCGTGGCCCAGCGAGCGCAGCTCGTGATCCTCGCCATCACGGCTGCGTTCTTCTACCTCCTTGGGCTGCTCGTCGCGGCGACGGTCTGGACGGCGATCCCGCCGCTCCAGACCTCGATCCAAGCCACGATTCCTATCTCCATCTTGATCCAAGAGCTCTTCCGCTACCTCTTCTTCAACGTCTACGTGCGCTGCGAGCTAGCGGTCAAAAAGGTCACGACCAAGCAGAACCAGCTGCCTCTCAACGACCTGACAACCGCCTTTGGTACGATCGCCCCACCAATGTCTGAGGTATGCATGACGCGAGTGTAGCATCCGGCGTCGGATTCGCCCTCATGCGGGCACTCATGTTGTATGGCACGGTCTTGGCCGCAAGTGTGCAGGGCGAAGGTGCGGCGTTCACCGACTCGTGCCCATCCGTGCCGCTCGTGTTTGCGTCCGGTACGAGACGATGCGTGGATAGTGGCGAATCTCATTTCTGTAAAGCGCTGTCGACGCTCGCGCTTACGCTCATGGACGTGGCGTTGATGATCGTCGCGTTTGAGGGTTTCCGCAAAAAGTCGGTCGCTCACATTGCCGCCGTCGTGCTCATCCACCTCGGCTCGGGGCTATCGGTGCGATTCATTTCAATCTCCGTGTATGCCTACGAAACGTGTTGTACTAGAACATGCTCAATTTGAACGAGGTCGGCTGCAAAGCTTCGATCCCACTGACGTACGTCGCGACGGCCCTTGCCATCGCTGCTGCCATGTTGACGCTCAAGCGGTCGAGCATGACGTCGTTCCCATAAGATGTGCATTTACACGTAGTACCACCCTTCAACGTTTATAATTCTGGTGTTTGGAATGGTCCAAGGCGGACGACACCCTTAGCTCCCGGCGTCATCGCGGGCAGCGTGGCGCGCCAAGCTCATGCGGGCAGCAGCGCGGTCCTTTACAGAAAGTTTGGAGTTGCGTTACCAAACCACTCGAATACCTTAACATCCTTACTATTATCTATTTAAACTATAACTCGCCGTAGCTGCGCTGGAAGAGCGTTGTGTATGTCACAAGCGGAAAAATGACGACCGTGCCGAGAAGCGCGCCCATTTGCGCGAGGAAGCCAGACCACTGGTACGCCGTCTTGGCATACGCCTCGTTGTAGCGCACCTCGCGCTTGAGCGTAAGGTAGGCCATCGTCTGCGAGTAGGCGAAGAGGAAGACAAACACGCAGTTGGCGATGACGGGCGCGATGCCGCCAAGCGTGTGGCTCGAAAAGATCGGGTGGGCGGTCGTGGCTGAGGCAACCATGAGCGCCTACGAGACGTCATGAGCCACCGGCGGCATTTTTGCCACTGCGGCAACGCACCCCGAGTAGTACGGTGAGGGACGTGAGCACCGTGACATTGTACCAGCGGTAAAAGCTCGTTAGGAAGCGGGCGAGCGGGTCACATGCCATTGAGAGAACGGACGACCATTTCAACACCTCGGCGCTATTCTATTCTCCGTACGTAAGCCTTGTGTGTGCCCAGTGAGTGCTGCGTACCGAGTACTTGCTGCCGAGGAAAGGCAGGATTGACGGGATGACACCAAAGCTCATGGCGCAAAGAACCACTTGGCACAGCAGCGGTTTCCAGAGCTTGGAGACGACGTAGTTGCGGCGCTCGACGGCGGTGGAGAACTGGTGCTTGGACTGCGGCAGCACGAGTGGCAGCGTCTCGTTCATCTTCATTGCCGGCGACAGAGTGCGCTTGAGGGGCGGAGTAAACGTGTAATCAAAGTCGCCACCGTCCTCGCGGTACTATCGCCGTGCGGGTGAGACTTACATACATACGACGAGTCTTGTCGTACCATAGAGGCTTGAATCTGGGTCGCCCAGGACGACTTGACGAGGAACGCAAAGGCGAGAAGCGCGACGAGGAAGACGACAGCTACGGCGCGAGATGAGTTTCGAATGGAAAAGAGTCCGTACCGCCATAGAAAAAGAAGCCGCCGACGGTGATATGCATGTGCGTCGCACCAGGATCCTGGATGATGCCGAGAACGCCAGCAATGACACCACTAAGACCTTCGCCCGTCGACAAAGCACTAGGAAGCGTATTGCATGAGTGTCGCGACTGCACGTCTGCCATGTACCTCGTGAAGAGAGGAGGAAACGTAGCAACGAACGGATAGTAGACGACGCTCGTCGTGGAGCTCACCATGCCGCCAAAGAAGACGAGGACCAGTAGCGCTGTACTGTGTTCGTGGCCAAAAAAGACGGACGTTTGGTCCCAGAAAGTGGACAAGAGCACTACGAGAGGCGAGGGCATTCAGTGTTGCATCATGCTTCCGACCGATTCACGCACCGCAGACGACAATGCCCATCGAGAGCAGGCCCCAGATTGCGGTGCGGATAGAGAAGAGCTGTTGGTCGTTGTTGAAGACCATGTAGAGCGCGGGAAAGATGTTGGAGGCTTGGATCGCGACAATCTACGCACATATGCGCTTAGGAACGAGGACTGTTCAACGGGCCTACCAAGTACGCGCTGATAGCAGCTTTCTCTGGTGTGCGCTACGAGACAGCGGAAGATGAGCCATGGCTATTGCAAAGGCGCGTTACTTGGTACAAAGCTGCAATTTCGACAAAGACGCCTAGCACGGAGATGAGCAGCCCGCGGGTAGCTTTAGAGGACGTACAGTTGGACATGATCCAAGAGCCAAGACCAAAGAGGATGAAGGCCGCGTAGACGGCAGCGACCTTGTACGGCTCGCGGTACAGCGGCGACGCGGAGGGCGACAGGAGTGGGCGGGGTGCCGGGTCCATGGCGATTGGCTCCTGCGTGTGGTAGTTTACGGTGACGCGCAGCTCGTCTGCCATGAGGATTCTTAGGACACGACGAATGACAACTGGCCGCGTTGACGCACCTCGCTGCTCGGCCGCGAACTCTTTTGTTCCGTAAGCTGGAGTTTGCTGGGGCGTATCTTGAATGCTATTGGCTAACTACTCACCAATGAAGCGCGAGGATAAAAACAATCGTCCAATCAGAAGCGCAGTAGCCTTCGAATCATTCGAGCCATGTTGGCGTTGACCACCGAACACATCCTGCTGTTGTGTAATCCACTCAATTGCCCTTCGTCGTCTGCTGCAACACGTCAAGTTGGTCGCATAGTGATTAGACTTCAAGAATTCCTCGATGCCTCGTCTCAACGACCAAGGAGGAAACGACCTCTTCAGCTCGCAGGCCTCGTACAATTCTAGGACTTGAGTTGAAGTTGGGATGGGGATCGGGTTGCACGTACTTTCTACGAGGCCGAGTGTCTTTGAAGCAAGAGAAGTAGCTTCGTTGCCAAACGATTGGTGCAGAGCTCCAGCCCGCTGAGATCTTTTATCTGGTCTTCCAAGTATCCCGCCGTTGCCCTATATGTACTGCGATGCTGTGCCCGTCGGGCACGGGCTGCGTGAAATCTCCTGTGATTGCAAGCAATCGTGGTGCTCTATGAGGACAGATTGATGTCCACAGTGGTAATACTGTAGCTGCACGTGGCTTGTCGATGTACGTTGGCTTTGGCAACTCTTCCGTGGGGCACGGTACGCACCATGTCCACTTTCGCAACCCTTGCACGATCCACCTCCAGCTGCCTCCCTCGTAGTATCACTTGATGACGCCACGAATCAAGAAGCGTTATGAGCCCGCGAAGAAGCTCGTCTTATTGATATTTATTTTTACGAACTGAGTGGGCTTGCCCTGCTTTAGGAACGCTGCCGTTCACCGTACTTGCACATATTTTACCCCAGAATTGGCCATTCGGCACGTACTAGTACTTGGTAAGAAGTACCAACGCCTGTGGACCTATGGATCGGATGCCGGTAACCAAGTTTAATGCAAGAACTGTAAACTGCTCAGCATTAAATGCTGGGCAGTTTACAGTTCTTGCATTAAACGTAGAAATTTTCTACGTCGAAGGTGACCCCAACCGCCATGGCAGACCTGCGTCACCTGCGCCCAGACAGTACACAAAAGTGTACAGTGAATGCCTTGTAGCAGTGTCCTGCACCACCGTCTTGAATTATTCAAGCAATCGAGCCCATTCCAGCTGCGCTGCTGGTTGCGGTTCGTGTGACAAAAAAAGGCGAGGCGTCTTGCTAGTCAAAGAGTGTGTTCGAGCAGACAAAAGGTTACAGCCCCTTAGCATCGACTGTTACTCCGAGCGACCCCCCTTCGTGCCTAGAAAACATAATACCGGTAGGTAGTGCTGACACAAGTTGAGATTGTACCTTCTCGTCCTGACGAAGCTTTTGCAGCCTTTTGAGCCGCTGGGTCAAAATGTCTTGCTGCCGCTTGCGTTCCACGACCTCTGGCAACTTCTCGTAGAGCCGCCGACTTCGCGATTTCATCTCGTTCAATGGCACACGCGCACGCTCGCCATGGCTGAGCCGCTCCAACATCGGATGGCTCGATGTTGCCGTCGATTGCGCAACGCGGTCAGCTTCGGCTTTGGCACGCCGCTCTGCCAAGGACCGCGCAGATGCTACTTGCCTCAGACACGGTGTGCGGATGGGAAAAAAGGTAATACCTGGCACGGGTGGCGCTTGGTATTGGACTGTCTCCTTGCGCCGTTGCATGCGCTCAAAAAGCTGCGGGTTTCGCAGGCGTAGCTGATCGGCAATCGACGACGCGTTGTCTTCTTGAAGCGACGGGCGACGGCTACTGTTGCTACTACTGCTGAATGACGACGCGCTTAAAAAATCGATGGCCACTGGCGGCGGAGGGATGTGCATCGGCATCGACGGATTGGGCATCGGCGGCAGCAGCGACTGCGCAAAGAGCGACGGCTCGCTCCCAGTATACAGCGACAACGACGATGACGAAGACGCAAAGCTGCTATCGTCGGACGATGCGTCGAGGTCGTGATACCTAGAAAACGACGTGAGCTGTGGTAGCCAAATCAATTACAACCTCGGAAAGGACGCTGGCGGGGCATCCACGACCGTGTCCTCTGTCCGAAGCGCCGACCATGCAGACACGCGGGGTGCCTCGTCATCACCATCATCGTTGTGCGAGGACGCACTCAATTCGGAAAAATCAATGACGGCGAGGTCTACAGGGGCGAGTGGTGCCGCTGCCTTCTCTTCCTCATCACCATTGGCGACCGCAGATGCGAGGGGCGCGACCAGCCACTGCGAGTAGGCGTCGTCGTGGGACGTGTCGGCGAGGCCAGCGCCGGCGTAGACGTCTGGCAGTAGCGGGCCGCGAAAGGTTGAAGGCGCACTTGACGCCACTGAAGACGATGAGGACGATGAAGACGACGAGATGAGTTTCATCGAGCCAAGAAACTCGATCGTAGCATCCATGGGAACCACCGAGTGCTGTCTTGATGTAGACAAAGCGGCGTGTTGCACGGGCGTCTGATCGTTTGAGAGCGAATGCGACGACGTTGATGCACTAGGTCGCCACACCGCCGGCTCGTCCAAACTGGATTCCAAGGCCTCATGGCGCACGGGAGTCTGATCGTTCGTCAACGATTCCGACGACGCCGACGCGCTGGGCATTGGAACGTGGTGCACGGGCGTTAGGTCGTTGGACAAGGCACTGGACGAACTGCTGGCGAGCATGCGGTGAGCACCAAGGAACTCAAAATCCGGGGTGTCACCACAGTCATTGTCTGATGCGAGTGACGACGGCGATGATGCAGGGCTGTCCCTCGGTAAAACTCTGGCGGCCGTTGCCGTCTTGGAGTCCGATGATGACAATGATTCGGACAAGAGCACCTCGTACACCGAGTGCTGCGGGCTCACACGACTAGCGACGTCGATTGGGCGGTCGAGACGATCGCACATCGTAGTAGGAGCTGGATCCGGCGGCTGTGAATGCTCGAACATGTCGGTGACAGCAAGCTTCGAGTCTCCAGACGCGCTTGACGAGGAGGAGGAGAGACCTGCCGTCGGTGTCGTGGTCTTGGGAACGGCCAAGAACCACTGCGAGATCGGCGCCATGTCAGTCAGCGACGACGATGACGAAGATACGCTCGACGAGAGATTTCGAACGCCGACACGTCCGTCGTCAAGCAGTGACTGGGTCGCGAATCCGGTAGTGTGGCCAAAGAGCACGGAGGAGCCCACGTCGCTCGTGAGACCCGAGTCACCGACGGAAGAGAGCGTGTACTGCGGGAGGCTGCTCTCGCCCATGAGCAACTGCATGCGCTGGAGTGTGGTGCTGATCTCGACATCCAGTTCGACGCCAGGCGTCCTGACAAAGCCATCCGAGCTCGATGACGACGATGACGAGCCACCGAGAAGCTTCAGAATTCGCTGACGAGCCTTGGCCGAATTGCCAGTCGGGGCTAACTCAGTACTGCTGCTACTGCTGCTGCTGCTCGAGCCGAGAAGTTGGTGAGATCGTCGCCGCAGCGACTGGCGCACAAGCGAGCTTGCATCATTCCAGTCTGACGACGACGACGAGACCAAAGACGAGCCTAGGTCGAAGCACGGGAGGGTCATCTTCACCTCGGAATCGATCTCTTCGGGCAGCATCGGTGTCTACAATGTTGATGCATTGAAAATGGCATCACAATATGCACGCAAATACCTCGTTCGGACCACCAAAGTGCGCAGACGTAGATGTGCTCTCAGGGGCCGGGCGCTGTGTTGTCGGCGACGCGTTATATTCGCTACTACTCGACGACAGCGCCGGGAAGATCTTGTGGGGCGCTGGTAGCAGCGCCACATCGTCGTCATCAGAGCTCGCCCGCAGCAGCGATGGCGTGGTGTTGATTCTCGACGTTGCTGAGTTGAGAGAGGCTGTCGGCTTGGTTGCATTTCGACGCGGCGACGACGACACAGACGACTTCGACGATGACGACGCACTGCGACACTGCTGCGCGGGCAAAAGAGGATGGTCTATACGAGTGTCGGCCTTGTTGGCTACCGCTGCTTGCTCAGGCGTGGTGGACGAGGCAGCACTGTTACCGATGCGCCTTCGAGGAATGCGACTGCGCTGCGTCGAGCCAGAAGACGACGAGAACGAGGATGATGCGGGGGACGGTGTAGCTTCAGGAGCTGCGGCGGCATGAGCATGTGCATGGTCGAGGACGAGCGAGTCGTCCGAGGAAGAGACCGAGTACCGACGGGCGAGGTCGTCGAGGGACGCCCAGTTGTCGTCGCTGGTGCAACTGAGGTCCATCAGATTGCTGCTCGAGAGGTCCATCATGACGTTCGACTTCGTTGCGTGTGATGGCAGCTCGCTGCTTGGCGTCAGTTCCGAGACGATGACAGAGCTGATGTCACCAACATCGGCGCTAGGTCCATCGGTGCGCACTGGAAGCTCGGAGAGACTGTTCACTTCGCTGTTGCCGGAGGTTTCCTTCGCCGATTGTAGCGTCGCATCTGTCGCATCGGGTGTCATCGGCTCGCAGCCACGGGCGGCTTGGACACTGGCTTGGATGCGCGCACTCGTAGGTCGCACGGCACTCGACTCGAAAGATGTCACGACGGGTGTGGATTCGTACGATAAACTGGGCCCGCCGGTACGGGATACAGACATCGAATCCTCTGGCGTCGAAGCACTCGACGGCGACGGATGACGGCGAGTCGATGTAGCGTTCGTCGCGGACTCTCGATTGGAACCAAGGTCAGTAGGCAACGTCGTCGGCGTAATACTGGGCACTGGCGTCGACACAGACGAGGCGTCGGGCGACGGTGCAGGCGACACCACCACGATTGCTTCTTTGAACTTCTCGGCGACATCTTGGGGCTTGCTTGGTGGCGAAGGCACCGGCGTTGGTGGCTTGGCACACTCACCGAGGCCCACAAGCGCACTCCTCTGCAGCTCTGGGTCTGGCATCGGCACTGCCTCGGTAGACGCTGGCAGTTGCTGTTCCAATGACGGGGCTCGTGGGGGTGGTGGCGTTGCGTGCCAAGCCGCTGGGTGATCATTCTCGCGAGTTGCTGTTTGTTCACGCAGCGGTGCCTCTGGCCACATCGGCTGTTTATCAACTTGGGGACTTGCTGTCAGCGGCGCCGTCACGGCTGTCTCTCGGGGCCGTTTCTCTGCATCGACGTTGTCACGAGTCGGGTCCTCAAGCCGCGGGTAAAAGGCGGCCGCGGAAATTGCAGGCGGGCGGCGTCGTCGTGGCGCAGCGCTGCTGGGCGTTGGAAGTGCTTCTCGGGGCACGGGCTCCTCGAACAGTGCAGGTGTTGGCACTTCCTCGTCGACGTCGGCTTGGTCGCTGCGAAAGAGAGACTCAAAGGCCCGTTCTCGCTGAGCCTCGTCCCCGTTCTCAGCCTCGGCCTTTGCTGCCAGAGTGTACATGACGTCGTGGCGCTGCGGGTCGTGCTTCATCTGGCGCTCGAGCGACGAAAGCCACTCAAGGGCGGTGTCGGCGTTGCGCTGGGCCGTCACGACGTCTTGGGCGTACGTGCCCCGGGCTACGGCACGTTGCTCGCCCACATTGCGCGCCTCCATTGCGGTATGCTGACGCACGTCTTCATCGAGTCGCTTTCTGTCGCCCTCAACCCAGCCGTCCATGGCGCTTGTGTGGCGGACGTTGTGGCGATGGACGAGTGGCGCCGACGCATGGAGTCTGGTCGTATTCAGGTCCGCAGGCAAGGTCACGTACGCTGCTGTCTCCAGTACACGACGCGCCATCTCATCCTTGAGTGCGCGGTCGCTGCGTTCGCGCTCGAGTTTGGTTAGCGCCACCTTCTCGGCGTGGCGGCGCTGGTGCTCGGCAATAGCTTGAACCTTGCGCATGTTCTCGCGGATCACACGCTCACGCTCGTCCCGGATGAGCTGCATCTTCTGCTGCGTTAGAAGCGCGTCGTTAAAGCGGGCATCGACGACGGCGTCACTCGCAACGAGAAGCTCCAGTTGATGCTTGGCGCGGGTCTGCATATCGGCATTGTACTCGTGCGCGTGTCGCTGCGCGTCGCCAATAGAAGCGAGGGCAGCCTTGTACTTGTCGTGCAAGTTGGATAGGACGAGAGACTTTTGGGTTTCAAATGCTGTGGCCTGCTCTGCCCGCTTGGCCTCGGTGGACTCGGCGGCGCGGCGCTTGTACCATGCATTGCGCTCGCGTGCGATGCGCTTTTCTTCCTCGCGTACCTACGTTACGCCGTTGCTACAGACCTCGAATCTTGCGCGAGGGTGTACCTGGATAAGGCGGAGCTTGCGGCGCCGGCGCGCGTCCTCCTGTCGGAGGTAGCTCTCTTCGCCCGAGCTTAGTGGCACGAACATCGCGCGGCCGTTCGAAAATTCAATTCGCCATCCCATCCCATACGGATATGATAGAACCGAAGTTCGAAGATACGGAAAATGACCCAAACATGTCGGCAGCAGCGGTGTAGTGTCTGCAGCAGGCAGGACCCCGCTGTCTGCAGTGCAACGAAGACTAGGAAACGTTCCAAGCAAAGTTGATGCATGGAATGCGTTACGGAATAAAACATCTGCACTTGGCTCTGAACAGGATGTCGAAGGACGCATGTGCCACTGCCTTGGAGTCACCGAAGCGCTCGACGCAGTTCCTACACGTGGACATCATCGTGTCCTGCCACGCGTGCATGCGCAGTTGGTAACAGCCATCGACGAAGCCGACACCACGAATATCGGGAGATGGTCGCACGTTCTTCTCGGTATCATCCTCCCGAAGATCACGAAGGAGCTCAGCATCCATGCACATCGACGCCGTTTTCTTGCATCTCTGCGTCGACGCCAACGGATGATTTAACACCGGCTTCGCACCCGCAGGCATTTGGCTCACTCCTCATGTTCTACGGTGTGGTCTTCTCATCCTCTGGCGACTATGGCTTTCTGCAAAGCCGGATGCGATACAAACGAAGCTACACCGCTGCCTCGCCAGTTCGCTTCAGCGTGCACAAGCAGCGAGGTCGATAAAACACATTTCGAGGTCGCACAATGTAGTGACGATGGCGACGTCGGTGACCATTGTTGGTGACGCTGCCTCGTGGCGACGACGGTCGGCGCAATGAGCCATCGTCACCACGTGGTGAGTGTTGCCAACCGCACGCCCATCAAAGTCGCGACCATCCATCTCGTACACCGCGTCGTCCGTGTCGCGTGGGTCTTCGTGCACCTACGTCCGTCGGTCAGCCAAGGAAGCGCCGAGCGTTGCGCACTCGACGAAGCCGACATCACGAATATCGGGAGATGGTCGCACGTTCTTTTCGGTTGCCCAAACCTGGCAAATTTGCATCGGAGGTCGGCCAAGTTGCCGACGACGACTTGGCCATGAATTTTCGAAGACGCCATCGGACGATAAGCCAAAGTTCCTTTCTGTGCACTGTGCAAACAACGAATTCTATCATATGAAGTGCAAACGGTAGAGCTAGGTCGTGTCAAAACTGACGATCGGGTCGTTGCCGCCGTCTTCCATGTCCAGAAACCAAATACCGGGACCAAGACGCCACGACGTCGGGGGCGCGCCTGGTGCGAAGCTCAGTTTGCCGAGGTCAATGCGCCGAAGCAAGTTGGTTTCGGTCGCTTGCACAAACATACAGCGGCGAGCGTGGTCGCGGACGACGACCCACTCGGTGGCGAACTCAGGAGACACGACCGGCTGCACAACCGTGCTGAGGAGATGGAGCGCGCGGGCGACACCGTTTTGGACGTTGTCGGGCGAAGTTAAGCTCGTTTCGACGCCGAAAATGTCCGTGTTGGCCTGGGCATTGAGGGTCACGAGCCGTGCAAATCGGTTTGTGGAAGAGTACGACGTGCCACCCGATCTCGTCGAGAGCGCTGTCAAGTGCTCCGGGAACGACGGCGCATTCGTGAGCACACCGAGGGCATTGCGAAAGAGGTGCGTCTTTCCATCAAGAAACTCGACGACTAGTGACGCGCCGAACGCATCATGCACCGCAATGTGCATTGGCAGACGACGGAGTGGGCCCAAGCCTGCCCGCTGGGCAAGTGGGATGTGCATCAAGTCTAATGCCACCGGCTGGATGGTATCAAAGCCAGCAACGACGTCGTCGACCGAGGCAAAATTACCTATTGCATACTCGTCAGGGCAAGTTAACCAATGTCAGAGCGGACCCAGAATGTAGCTGCAGAGGTTGCCAATGGCCGGCCGAAGGTCGTTCTCATCCACTTCAGGGTAGACGGTTTCCTCCATGAACAGCCACGCCGCCGATAAGCCTACGTGCTGATACATATATGGATTGAATCAACACGGCCGTGTACCCTTGGTGTTGAGGCCATCGGCTGCAAACGGAAGGGTATGCACGTTGAACGAGACGAATCCGATGGAGTTGCGCCACTGGAACCCACCGGCCTCGACAAAGCGCGTGCCGATGGGTACCGTTTCAATGGACGTCTGCAGGTCCATGATGAAGTCCACGCTTCGTGCCGAGATGACATTGGTCGTCGAGTTGAGGAGAAAGTCGCTGCATGCACCGCCGACGCCCGCGAGAAGCGCCACGAGAAGCGCGGGTAGCTGCATCGCACGCGAGTCGCGAGTACTTGGTTTTGATTGGTTGGAAATTAACCAATCATCAAAGGTGTTTGCAATCCACACTTGTCGCTTCCACTGACCTCGCCAAGCTCGCCGGTGGATGGCACCTTGCCTTCAATCTCGACATTCTTTTGAACGTCGTACGCCTCAAGTTCAGAGGCTGCGTCTCGCTCGCAGTGCAACCTCCATTCTAGTGTACCAGAACCTATAAGACTGCATGTCCAGCGGCAACATCACAAGCAACCGCATCACCACATTACTATTGAACAACAGCGACAAGGCATTGCTCGAGCTGGCGTATCAATTAGCTGGTGCGTCTCGATGCGAGTGCCGGCCATCTAGGCGAGGCTGCCAAATCTCTGGAATGTTATCACACCAAAAGCCAATGTCGCAAAAGTTCGAAAGATTCACTGGCGCGATGCACGAGATTTGCGTCCACGCCCAGGTGCATGTGCACGCCGGGCCTGGGCTCGAGGAGGGCGGGCGCGTGGAGCTGCAGGTCGAGCGGCTCACGACCTTCGCCCACGTCCTGCGCGACAAGGGCCTCGACACGGAGCTTCTGCACGTGAAGGACCACGCCGACGACGCGACCGACTGTCACGAGCAGGTCTACCTCCTCCTTCTCGGTATTTCCAAGGCCGCGCAGGAAGAGAAGATTCTCTCGACACTTTCGGAGGCGCACCAGTATGTGCGCACACTGCCCGGCTCGGCGCGGACGCAGCAGATCATCATGGCCTTGCTCCGGGAAGCATCCGTCGAGGACAACTTGTACCTTGGCCAGGACGGACTCACGCTTGCATTCCACGCAAACGAGAAGCTCTTCCCACAGCTCCAGGAGCACGTTCAGGTACACACGGCGCTCTGCAGATAGGTGCTTACGGCTCTCGAGGTATCGCTGCTACCGCTACACAACGACGTGCTGCGCCACGACATCCTCGCCAAGTGGCATGCTGCGCCGGGCTTGGCACTACCGTTCCGAGAGATCCACTCGTACTTTGGACCTGCGCTCTCCATGTACTTTGTTTGGCTCGGTACGACGACTCTGGAAAGGCCGAGCTCAAGATGAGGGTAGATTTTTACACGCAGTTTCTGGTCGTGCCCAGCATCTGCGGCGTCGCCCTCTTTCTCATGGAGGCTGCTGCGATCGACACGACGCTGTACATCCTCCCGTTCTCGATCGTACTTTCGATCAGCACGTCGATTTTTGTCGACTCGTGGACGCGTCAGCAGCGGCAGACCGAGTACCAATGGCAGTACACGCCAGTCGAGGACACGTACAGCGAACCTCGGTACTCTCCCGTCGAAGCCGCTTTTGCTGATCTCTTCGTAGACCGGCGTTTCTTGGCGAGTGGATTCGCGATCCTGTGACGCACGAGCTCGTCTTTGACACCCCGCATTGGAAGCGTGCGTGGACTAGATCTATTGCGAATCTCATGTGCGCGCACCTGTAGGCACCGTGGTTCGCGCCTGCGTGACACTGCCGCTAGTCTTGCTCATGTGCCTTGGGGTCCTTCTCTACGTCCTCGGCCTCGAGTGGTTTGCGGACCACAACAAGCACTGGTTCCCCATGTGCTACGACCAGATCGACGAAAACGACGCCGCCTATTGCGCGATGGTCATCCAAGGCCCAAGCGTTCTTAATGCGGTGCTTATTGAGGTGATGGACCTCTTGTATCTCAAGCTCGCCAAGTGGCTCACACGGCTCGAGAACTATCGAACGGTATACTGCATGCTCTGCCACGCCTGCAACTCACACGCTTCAGGTCGAAGAGCACGAGAACCAGCTCATTCTCAAGCGCATGCCGTTCCACTTGATTAACTGCAACGCGTCGCTGCTGTACCTCGCCTTTATCGCGCAGGACCTCACGCGACTGCGTCGCCGGCTCTGGATCCTCATGGTCGGCATGCAATGCCTCGACAACGTCAAGGAGGTGGCCATGCCTGCGCTTATGCTGTGGTTCCAAGGTGGTCTCAGTGATGCTCACGTTGTGTTGCACACAACGACGAACGACAAGGTAGCGCACATCCTGCGTCAGAAGCATCAAACACCGTACAAAGACACGTTTTCCGACTTCAAGGTATGGAATTCTTGATGGTCGCTAGCTTTTCACCCCGTTTGTACAGGAAATGATGTTGCAGTACGGCTACGTCACGCTATATGCCCCCGTGTTTCCGCTGGCGCCGCTCTTCGCCTACCTCAACAACCTCATCGAAGCGCGGTCCGACTTTTTCAAACTAATTAACAGCTATGGCCTCCAGCGGCCGTACGCCAAGCACACCCATGGCATTGGCATTTGGTCCCGCGTCCTGTACGTCATCTCGGTCGTCGCCGTCCTCGTCAACTGCGGCCTCTTGGGCATCTACCAGATCGAAGTGCTCGCACCCGACATGTCGGACGTTCACCGCGTGTGCCTCATCTTTGTATGTGTTTTTCTACATTTTTGAATATTGAATATGGCGTAGGGCTTGGAGCACATCATCCTACTCGTCAAGGTGTGCTTGGACTGGTCCAACCCCGACGTACCGACGTGGACCGCCTTGGACGAGCGTCGGCGCTTCCTCAACACGCAAGCCTCCACGAAGCAGCATTTACTCAAGAAGGCGGCGTAGTAGTTGTCACGGTATGCCATCGAGACTCGTTTGCAGCTCTTTGGAGCAAAGTTTACGGTAGACATGTTGTTTTTCTCTCGCATTAATTCATCTTTGTGCCTTGTTGCCGGTGCTTGTGCCACACCTTCTGGATCGCGAGGGCCGAGTTGAACTCGAGCGTGAGGTCAAAGCGCTGAAACGACGCTAAAGTCAGCTGCACCGAGTGGAGCTCGTGAAAGTGGCGCAGCGCATGGGTGGCGAGCGTCGTCTGCAAGTGCTTTTCGACCATCGCCGACTCCAAGTTTGTGGCGCCGTTGGGCATCGTTCGATGACAAAGCGCGTAAAAGATGTCGAGGTAAAACATGTCTTTGGCCGCGTTGCGTCGCACGTCCAAGCTACGAACGAATTGGACGACGTTGATATGCTGCCCCTGTGCCTATCGAGATACAGAGTGGCGCACTGTAGTGCATAACGTACAAGACGAGGCAAGCCGAGCGGCGGCGGTATCATACGCAGCAGTGCTGCGAGCTTGTACGACGGAAGAAAGAGCGATCCTTGGTGGGCGAGCTGGCCCCACGCAGCCGCAAACGCGTCAAGGTGGTCGTTCGTCGGCTGGTCTTCGAGCTCAGTGTCACACCCGGCCATGAATTCGTTAAAGCTCTCGAGCACCACCGCAATGAGTATGTTGAGCACGACATAGTTGCCCAAAATCAAGAGCGAGAAAAAGTACACGCGGCCGACGTGCGGATGGAGCGGAAGCACGTCGCTCAAGTAGCAATCCCACCTGTCGCCCTATAGGACGACAAGTCTTTAAGAAGGCGAGGTATTGCGGGATTCGAACCGTCGCAACAACGAAGAGCACCAGCATGGCACTGCTCAGCGATTCAAAGTTGCGGCCGGGTCGGAGGCACTCGCCTTCGATGATCTCTCCAAAGAGGTTCATGCCCAGAATGGCGTAGACAAAGATGACCAGCACGAGGAGCGACCCGACGTTCAAGAGCGACGGTAAGCACGTCTCGAGCGTATGTAAAAGCGAGAGCAGCCCGCGCGAGTTCTAGACACCATTACTATACTCTGGATAGAAGCCATGGCAGCACGACCTTGAGTAAGCGGTAGGCGCGACCGACACGCAACATGCGAAGCACGCCAACGTCGATAAACGAGTCCGAGACGGACACACAGAGCACGACGAGGTCGAGCCAATGGGCCCGAGTGCGGATGTAGCCGCGCACTCCAAGCGCCACCACCTTGATGCACGCTTCGAGGACGAAGAACGCCGTGAACGCCCACTGCAGATCGTCGTACGTTGCTTGGTACGATGGCGACGACGGGAAGTGGTCCGTGGCCATGAGCACCACATTGAGTCCGACCGCCGATATCGTGACGACTAGTGTGCGCTCAGCCACAAAAGCAAGACGCAGCAACACGCACCCTCAAAGACCCAGTGTTGAATGCAGGCAAACGCCGCATATCGAAGGCTTTGCCGGGCGTGTGGGTTGCTCGGCACGTAGTGCGGGCGCGTCGTAAACAGTTGCCGTTGAATGCTGACCTGCAGCGCGTTCCATTAGACAGTAGTAAGCTCCTGGTAGTGTACGCACCCAACGTTTCTGCTCCTCGGTCAGGAAAATGGTGCCCTCGGACGCGGCTTTGATTTGGTCAAACTTGTAGACGATGACACCGAGAAAGAGCCCCATCATGAAGAAGCCGCACACGACGACAAAGACGAGGAAGAAAAGCGCGTACGATGGCGTGTTGTCTTGGACGCGCGGCAGCCCTGCAAAGCCAGTCGATGGCGCGTCGATGACGTCGTGCATCGCACCCGACCAGCCTTGCAACGTCGTGAGCTGAAGCAAGTACACAATGGCGTCGCCGACAGTGTCGTAGTTGTTCATGGGTGTCACCCAAGCCCGCTGCACGTCGGGATCGCTCAGGCACGCATTCACGCCCTTGGTATATCGCTAAACGAGAAAAGATGAGGTCCAAGCCAAGTCATTTTACGCACATCGAGCGGCTCGGCGCTCTCGCAGTAGGCGAGCTTGCCTGCAAAGAGCTCGACGGCCACGAGCGCAAAAATGCAGACAAACACGACGACGACGCCAAGGATGTGCACGACGCAGGGCAGCGTTTTCAGAATCGCCGACAAGACGACCTTGATGCCGTCGTTGTGGTGCGCAATGCGCAGCGGCCGAAGCGCCCGGAACGCCCGAAGTGGCTTGGCTGCGCTAAAGCCTTTTGTGACGCTGTGCGTCGTGGAAGCACCTAGCGACGCGCCAAGCGTCATGAGCGCAAAGACCGTGACGGCGCAATCCAGAACGTTCCAGCCGTCGCGCAAGTAGGCGCGCGGACCCGTGAACCACAGTCCTTGCGCAATCACGCGCAGCAGGATCTCGATCGTAAAGAGAAGTGTGCAAGCCGCGTCGCCCTACGCGGATACATGGTACGATCTATCCGCACTCGCGCAGCGGTCTTACCCAGAAAAACAAGGTCGCGTACGCGTCGCCGCTGCTCGCACTGCCTTCCATCGCTGCAAGAACGCAGGAAAGAAGGATACTCAGGAGCACCACAGTGTCAAACGCTCGGTGCAGCGTGAGCGAGACAATGCGCGCTCGGAACGAACTGGTCGCGGGAAAGCAGCCAAGCGCGTTCCCGGTCAATAGCGCGCGGTGCCGCTCTTGACGAGATTCGGTGGCTCTTTTGGCCCGGCGCTGGTGCGCCGTCTTGGCCCGCTGTATCGACGGGTGCAACGGCTGCAGACCATAGCGCGGGTGGAGCGAAAAGATACTGTCGTCATTTGCCAACGGACCTTGGACAGCGCGTACAAGCTCCTGCATGACGGCGCAGACGTCGACGTCTACGTCGCGAAGGCTGAATGACTTGGTGGTGAGCCTGCTGCGAGAAGCTGCGTGGGCCGAAGCCGCTCGATCGTCACGAGGCGGTTGCCCATCGCCTCAGCGTCAAGATCGTTGCTGGCATACCCGTGCTTCAACAAGAAAGCCACAATGTCCGAACCGTGAACGCAGGCAAAGTACCACTTGTGCTCAACGCAGATGTTGCGAACTTTCATGTGAAAGAACAACATGTCGGCGATCTCATGGAGGCGCATCGTTGTTGGGTCTGCGCATCGGCTGCCCCGTCGGACGGCGGAAAGAATGGCTTCGGCGTCCATGACGCTCGAACGGGAGCTGCCGCTGGCTGGGAGTTCGCGGGTCCGATCGGGTGGCGACGTCTGCCACGGCTTCAAAACCCATGCCGAGAGTGTGGACAGACAACCGAACTCGGCGTTGGCAAGCGTCTCAAAGTACGACCGGTGATGGACGTTTTCGTCCGAGTCGAAATTCTGAAGCAAAATCGATAGAAAGACGTTGAGCGAGATGTAAAAGCCAGCGACAAAGGCCGATATGATGAAAAGGACGCCGTTGTACGTGCTCGTGTGCATGCAACTATAGAGCACGCTGGTCCACTCGTCGCCCGTGAAGATCTGGAAGACGATCAAGAGCGCCTTCCAAAGCGACTGGAACGACGACAGTGAGTGCCCGAAGAGGTTCATGCCAATGAGCGCAAAGACGTAGAGCACGAGGCTGAGCAAGATCGCGTAGTAGCAAAGGCCGCGAAAGCTCGTCAGCATCGTCTCTAAGAGCATGCGGAACGATAGCCACTGCTTCCCGAGGGCGAAGACGCGAACAATGCGAACGATGCGGAAGCCGCGAACGACGCTGTCTGGCATCGAGGTGACGCTGGCGAAGCAGAGGTGCAGCACCCTACGCCATGCATGACGACACCATGCATACGAGGGCATAAGCGCTACCCAATGACGGTGACGATGCCGTCGAGGAGGTTGTATGTGTCGGCGACGTAGCCAGACAGACTTAGCCCGTTGACTTTGACGAGCATTTCGAGGCAAAAGATGCACGAGAGGATGTCAGTGGTCCTGCTGAGTACCCGCGTCCATGCGACATCATTCGTATCCGCCATCGTCTTGTTGTTGATTTGGACAACGCGGGGGTCGGCCATCAGTGGCGAAACGTCGTCGGTAGGGTTGCGCACAAGGAGCACGACGACGTTCACAAGCAGTGCCATGTTGACCACAAGAACAAAGGCACGGTGGTGCATCACCGCGAGGGCGACGGTCGACGTCCTCGATCTCGTTCGCGCGCCATGAGCTTCCGACGCAAGGGTTCTCGGCGTTTTTGCTACGGAAGGAGGTAGGTGCACGCCGGCGCCATGAAAGCCCATGCGCCTCAGAACCCGTTTGAAGCCATCGACATTCACCATGCCTACGGAATGCGATTGGCCATCCAAGCAGCGGAAAAGCGCACCTTGGTGCGTAGGGTCCTCGGCCCGAAAGAGCTCAAGGAGGTTCGTCCCGTGCAACTCGCACGCGTGGCACTCGATGAGCACTTTTTGCTCCAGGAGCTCCATTTGCCGAGACGGGGCGTCCGCAAAGCGAATGAATTCGGCCAAGTCGACGTGTCCGCTGTTGTCCAGGTCCAAGTACGCGTGGAGCGCTACGACTGTCGCGTGGTCTACGGCAGTGCCGACGCTCGCTTCAATGGCCTGCAGCATAGTACGCATTTGCACTCGTCTCATCGTAGGAACGACTACCTGAAAGCCACTCTGGAGTTCCGCGAGGCTCAAGCGACCGTCCTGGTCCTTGTCGAAAAATCGAAAGAGTGAGTGGGTGTGCAAGCCCGCGACTTTGGCGCGCTGAAGGAAGCGTCGCAGCGTGTTCATGGTCTCGTTGACATGACTGATTCCATAGACTATTGTTAAACAACCCGACATAGCACACGATCCGCACCTCGACTGCGAAAAGAAAGTGGCAAACGCAGTGTAGTTGATGAGGCCATTCTGGTCTTGGAAGCGCGAGAGCAAGAGGTGGAGCTCCATGTACGACAGCTTCGTAGCCGGGAGCGCATTTGGAAGGCGAACGACGTCCATCACGGACGGGGCCCGACGCGTCTGCTTTGCAGCGAGCGACTTCTTTTTGAGCTTGAGCTACGATTCTTTAGGAGAAAATGAGAGTCTAATGTTCGCGCACCTGTGCTGTCACGAGTGCTCGTTGAATGTGCTTGAGCTTGCGGGCGTAGGCGTCGTGGATGACGGCAATGACGAGGTTGACGACAAAGTAGCCCCCCACTGGGATCAAAAGCACAAAATAGAGCGCCGCAGCACGCGACTAGTCGACATCTCACTTCGTGTACGTTCTAGGACACACGGGTACCTTGGCTTCCACGAGGGCGAAGAGCGTCTGTCCCCAGTTGGAGAACGAGACGACTTCAATCACGGTCAGTAGCGCGAGCCCAAAGTGGTCGAACGAGGTGTAGCCGTCATTGAGGTCCCTGTAGAGTGTCGTCGTGTTCACGACATACGCCGAGCACGTTCCATTGTTGGGACACGTGCGCCCGCCGCCGCAGCGCGGCCCACTGCCGTCCACATACTCGTTGTCGCATTGCTGGTGCAGTGCGCCTTGGAAGAGATTGACGCCCGCAATGGCAAAGATAACGAGCACGACCAGCATGAGGTGGCCAACATGCACCAGGAGCTGCATGGCCTCAAAGAGCGACTGAACGAGCGTCTGGAGGCCGCGCGAGAACGTGATTCCGCGAAGCACCTTGAGGATGCGCAAGAGGCGGAACAGTCCGAGGTTGGGCACCTGCGACGAACTCTGCGTCGCCAAGAGTATCGTGAGCCAGCCCAGGAGCACGAGAAGCATGTCCACAATGTTCCAGCGGCTTTTTAGGTACGACTGTGGCCCGTCGACCACGCCGACCGCCAGCACCTTGACACAGACCTCCAGCGTAAACACCGCGTTGAAGCCGACGTCAAGCCAGCCGAGCACCTACCCAGACGCATCATTGTCGCTACGCACAACCTGCATGGGGCGCACCGTGGTGATGGTCGATGACGCATCCGTGGCCATTGACGACGACGTGTCGACGCCCAGTACAATCGTGTTGAGCACGATTGTCAAGAGAATGCATCGGTGAAAAGCCTCGGAGAAGTAGAGCTCGATGCAAAGCCGCCGAAGCCGCGATTTCTTGGACAACCCGGCGACCGTCGCTGGGAGCCGGAGCGCGATGGACGCGTGCTTGGCGCCATCTTGGCCCCAATTGTCTTGGCCGTGGTGGTGGGTGAGGGCCGAAATGTTGTCGGTCGTCCTTGCCGGCGCAACGACGGCCACCTTGGGACGTGCGATCGAAGCCATGGCACCCTCCCGCGACGGTTCCATCCTTATGTATCTTTTTGTTTGGTGGTTATCACGCCGTAGAAACGACACTGAGGTCATCCGTCGTTCGGTTTCTGATGCGGCTAATCTCTGAACGCAACACGCATGCGCTGGCATACGACGAGTGCTGTATTGGTGTGTGGCTTAAAACACAGTGATGAGCACAAAGCAGCTGTAGACCATGGCCGTCGGGTACGCGATGAGGAAGCGCTGGTCGTGCATGTGCAGCGCCTTCTCGAAGAAGCGCGTCGCCGTCTGCGTGCTCCACGCGACGCTGAGGAAGGCGAGTGCGAGACCAATGTAGTTGAGGCTCCTACAATAACGCAACATGAGATCGCACATTCATGTGCACAATGTGTCCGACTTGACGGAGACGACAATGTTGACGGCAGCAAGCAGGATGATCGGCAGCAAGCAGTAACCAAGCACGGAGCAGACGCGGTAAATATCGATCGTGCGCGTCGGTGACAGTAGGTTCATGATCGCCCACATAAAGACCCAGCCAAAGACGCCAAAGCCGTAGATGTACCCGAAATGGATCTTCCCGCTCTAACGATATCGCATGAGCCATCATCGACCCTGTCCGGAAGCGACATACCAGCAGCAAGCACGTGCCAAAGACGAAACAAAACACAAGCGGGCCCGCGAGGTCCGTGTCATCGAGGATGTGTTCCGTGATCTCCTTTGTCGGCAGCAGCACCGACTGCGTCTTCATCCAGATATGCCCAAAGTTGACGCCGAGCTCTACAGGCAACAAAATAACGATCACGCCAAGAACCATCCAGCCCAAATTGCAACCTTCGAGGAGCGGCGGTTCGTTCTCGTAGTCTTCGTCGTCGCGGTCGCCGTACCGGCCCGACGACGGCGGCCCGTCGCCCATGCGACCCATCGAACCCGTCAAATCGCTCGTCGGCGCGCTATCGCCACCTGTGAACCAAGGTGCATTGCCCCCTTGGTTTTGCAGCGGCGGCTGCTGGTACGCGGGCTGCTGCTGGCCGCCGTAGCCCGGCTGGCTGTACTCTTGGTTGTATTGCTGGCCGTAGCTACCTTGCTGGCCGTAGCTGCCTTGCTGCTCGTAGTTGCCTTGCTGGCCGTAGTTGCCTTGCTGGCCGTAGCTGCCTTGCTGGCCGTAGCTGCCTTGGTTGCTGTTGCCGTACTGCGACTGGTTGTTGTCGTAGCCGAACTGGGGCTGCCCAAAGCCAGGTTGCTGCGTGTACATCTCGTCGGCGTCTCCGGCGCTTCGGAGCCCCCTCTTATCCGGATGTCCGAATACAGCAGATGATTATCCGGACGACGTATGCGAACGCTGACGTGGCGTTGGGATCCATGTACTCGACAGGGTACCTGGCAGGTCGTTAGGTCCGCAGTGAGTTGCTTGGGCGCAGGGCGGCAGCTGGTCATGGTAGCAGAGCTGTCAACAGGAATCTCGTCGTTTATACCTACTATTTCAGTTGAGCCATACCGTCAAGGCCTTTCCAAACCAACGCCATTTTCTAAATACCGGTCATGTTACCTCAGAACCCTGCGCTGCTAGGGGACGCAAGGCAGATCGATCCTTGCGTTGGCTACTAACGTTAGTGCTCGTGATAGGCCTAGGTCGTCTCCGAAGAGATGGCCAGAGCTTGTTCAGAGTCCGACCAGTCTGACGGTCTGCTATTGCCCTTCCTCACCGCATTGCACGCGGTGCTACGCCGTCGGCGACGCGGTGTCTCCGGCGCACGTCATCCGTAGCAATCGGGTGCTTTGCCTTTGGTTGCAGCATTATTCACAGACATGCGTGCGGTCGACTCCCGCTCCGACAACCAAGGCGTGTGCTAACCTCCATCGCAGCAGTCTGCAATGACGTCGTTACGTACGCAGTAGGCATAGCCTCGTCGCGCGCGAGACCTCTGCAGCATGCGTGCTTTACAGACGACAGTCGTACGCATGCTTGGCCCAGTCGCGCTCCTTCCGTGACTACCTCGTAGCTCACTGCATGCGATGGGTCAACCACGCGTTTCGTGCTCTTCGCACCATCGTCAACACCTCGAAGTCGGGCGGCGCCATGGATATAGCGCTCGCAGCAATTGGCTCGAGCCGTCGTCGTTTAGGATCGCGCTCGGTGCGTCATCGTACTAGTTTCCCTGTGGCGGCAGATGTCCCAGCGCGCGGCGGGGCGTGAAGTCCAAGAGCGACCTACACTCTTCTGGCTACTCGTGTGGACCAGCAGTAGTTATAACACAAGCGCCGTGTCGGTCAAGACCAAGCTCAGATTCGATGGAAGAAGCCGCGAAGAAAAGGAAGCGGACGCCGCGGGAACTCATACCAAGTAGATATAGAAACACGAAGAAGAAAGCAGTGCAATAGGTTGGCGTGGGAGGATGCAACTGCGCGGCGCTGGCATCTGTTGTGGTGTATATATATCAACCGCGACCGGACCACAGGAAAAGTTGTGGGTGTTATAACAGCCGTTTCGCCACAGGCGGGAAGAATCCTGGTGCCATAACACTTGAAGCTGCCAACTGCATGGGTGATGGAGCATCACGTTGAAGAAGCTTTGAGCGGTGCTTTGCGAAGAAGGAAAGCAAGACCCGTCCTCTCGCGCAAACAGGATCTCCAAGTAAATCACAAGCCGAATACGGCGTGGTCCCCAGCTTTCGTCACCCGTCATCCCTAGTACGCGTGCGTGGACCAAGTGCAACCAAGCACTGCAAGTCGTTTGTGTAAACAGGCTCGGAAGGACTGCTGTGCGACCAGACGCAAGTCTCTCGAACTTGATGCGAAGCCTCGGTTCCTTGAATTTCGTTTTTCATGCTGCCATGGCCACGTCGACGACGAGTCTCTTCTTTCGCGGAGGCTAAACATTGGGGAAGCCATGACGCTCCTCTGTCCTGCTGCTATTACTCGGTGGCACTACATCCACGCCGCAGACATACAGAGACCAAGTCATAAAGCGTCGTGTGTCTCGCGCGTAAAATTTCGCACTCCGATTTTCTGGTGCGAAAATCCTGTCGGAATTAATTATGTAGCGTCCCACTGTGCCAGCGTTGAAGTTGGTGCTAGCAGCTTGCGCTGTAACGACGCGCCAAGGTCCATTTTCATATTCTCTTTGCCTTCGCAAGATGGTCATCTACTACACCAAGCACAACAACACGGTCATGGAGAAGCTCGGCTTCCGCTCCAAGACGTTCGCCATGGACGTCAACACCGCGAAAGGCTCCTTCACGTGCATGAACACCAACACGACGTTCGCGATCGACGCCATCGTGGACGCGCAGTGGACCAACGACAAGCACCTGACGCTGCGCGTGCAGCACCACGGCGCCGTCGTCAAGCAGCACCTCATCTTCGAGAACCACGCCGACCTGCACATGTTCCTCTCCGAGCTCGGCGTTCACGACGCGGTGCAGAAGCGAGGCAGCGACCGCGGCTCCTTTTCCAACGCGACCTTGCCACCGACGCAAAAGCCCTTCCGCCGTAGCATTTAGACATTAATCTACCTCATATTTATCTTCTCAGATGCGTACATTCCTCGGAGCCATCAGTACGTTGGACGCCCGTACAAGCATTGGCATCGGGTGCAGATCCCTGTGCAAAGACTGTTACAAGTGAGGCGTCTACGAGCCGGTCGCATTCTGTGGATTTGCGCGCGGTCCAGCGTGAACGTGTGTCGTGCAACTGCAATTACACCAACTCGAGTGGCATCCGCCTCCATCCGCCTCCATCCCTTTTGGATCAGAGGTAGCTATTAGGCTGATGATAAGGATGCGGCACCGTCTGACTCCCTTGATGAACAGCATAGCACCCAAGCAAAATGCACAGTCGCTGCTTGCAAAGCCATGCGCGCTCTGGCCCGTCGCGGGACGTCACGGGATACCTACACCGAGCGTGTTTCGTGTAATATCACACGCGACGTATAAATCGCACACATACATCGTACAGGCGCAGGAGCTCCGTAGCACACGACACCTGCGTCCCCTCGTAGGTGCGGCGCGTCGGCGTTGCGTGCCGCGACACCAAATAAAAGTACACCGGAAGATATCCATACCTGGTCCACTTCGTTCTCGACGTGCCACGCTGCAGCGTCGACGGACTGTCGCTTGAAGCGACAGCCCCGCGAGACATGGACGCTGAAATTCATGAAGTGCAAGATTCGCGATCTTTGGCCTTCGAGACACAGCCAATCACTGCGTCGTGCTCGGATTTCGCGTCGCGTGATTGGTGGCCGAGATTGCTCATTAGTATGGTGCGCTGCTTTGCGGTCATGGCGATAGTCGTGACGACGTCGGCGTCGATGGCCGACCGCTTCTATGGCTTCCGCTACGAGGTAATCTATCGAGCACGAAGGGATTTCACCTCTTCTCGAGCTTAGATTCCCAGCAACAACGAAGAGACGATCGCGCTTGTCACGGCCCAGGCGCAGCAGCACGGATGTTTTGGCTGGGTGCAGCCCGCGCCGCAGGTAAGACGCGTGCACGACATGTGCCTAGCTGAACGAAAAGGCGTAGGCCACGGTAGTGGGCGAGGTGCGGTGCAGTGCAACCCATGGCCCACGCGTGCACACCTGGATGGAGGAGACGTGGCACGGCGCCCACGTCCGCGTCTACACCTCGACAAAGATCCGCTTCCACTTCAGCTACTTCCGCCGGCTCGAGACGGCGCGCGACACCTGCTTTGCGTCACCGCCCCACGCGTGCATTGCCCACACACGTCACGATGAGCTGTAGTATGTATTTATAACAAAGACACTCAAGACTACCTACCCTCTTGCTACGAATCCTCCCGCGAGTTGATCTCCTTGAGGCGGTCCGCGTACCGAAGCGTGTTGAGCGTGTGGTTTGAATGTTCCGAACACGGCGACACGGTCGCGATCATGACCGTTTTAGACGTCTCGCACATAAAGCTACGTACAACCCCTCAAAACACCGTGACATCTACACGAAATTCGAACCTGTCGCGGAGAATCTGGGTGAGTTTGCTTTGGCGAAATGGCAGGTGCTTGGCGCCAATGTCCATGGCGCGAATGCATTCTTTGAGCGCCAAGAGACTCTTGTTGATCTCCGCGCCCTCCATACGAGTCGACTTGCTACGTGTCCATGCAAACATCAATCTCAACGAGAAAAATGATGAAAGCGTACTCGTCCGTTTGAGTTTCGCACGCGCGTTCGCTGCCGGCCAAGTCGACCATCGACAGGCGCGCTTCGACCGTGCCCAGTGGACTACTCGGTGTCGCATGTCCAGCATACAGCGTCACGCGCAAGATGGCGTGGGAACGCGACGAGTCGTCGTGGACGCCATTGATGCTCGTGATGCGAGAGGCCTCTCCCTAGGCTTCCGTGAATGCAACGACGCATGGAACATCGGTGCACCTTCTCGACGAGCTCCATGAGCATCGCAGCAGAAGTTGTCTGCACTTCCGTGAGGCCCAAGAGCTGCACGACGCCGTCGTTGTCTTCGAGAGCTTGGACTTTCTTGCGCTGGTTGAGGAGGTCGCAGACGCCATTTTTGTAAATGTCGTAAAAGCTAACGCCAACAACGATGCGGCCTTTCGAGGACGAAGCGAGCTGCGCGAACAAGTCGCTTGCGGCTTGACGGTACACGGATTTCCTGGTCATCGTTGGCTTTGACATGCAGACAGTGTGGGCAGTACATGGTGTAGGTCTTGCCCGAGCCCGTTTGGCCGTATGCAAACACGGTGAGAATGCCGTTGGATTGCAAGAGCGACGGGATCCATGGGCCAACCGAGTGCTTGTATATGATGTCGTTGTCGTCGCCTTCGTCAAAGACCCTACGGTGGTCGTGAGGAAGAACGATCGACACCTTTTAGAGACCCGTCAAACGCGAACGCGTGGTTCTCGAGGGACTCGCTCATGTCGACCTTGAATTTTGGCTCGTGGCACAGCAGGGACGTGGCATGTGTGCACGTGATCACATCGTAGCCTACAAAACGAGTTACGAACCCCTCGGTGACGCATCGAACCTTTGGCAGCGAGCTCCTTCTTGCTAAGTGGACGCTTTCGCACAAAGACACTGAGCTTGCTAGAGCTCACGGGCGGGCGCCGCATGGCAGGATCTACAAGATTTTCCGTAAGCTCCTATGGTTCTCGGTTCGGTGCATTGGACCTCGCTTCGGCAACGTCGATCGGTACACCTTGATGAGGCGCCGAAATTTGTACCCGGTATCGTCGCCGTGCTCCTTGAGCTCTGCGTCCCTAGTTTCGTAGTGCAGCACTCCTTTCGAGTGGCACGTTGATATTTACTTGCGGTGTTTCTCTTGCACTTGAAGCGCGCGCCGCTCTTCCCGCTTGCGCTGGATCTCGGCGAGTGCCCCGACGCACGACGACTTGCCTTTGACGGGGCGTTTCGGTTGCGCCTTCTTGGGCCGCGGCGCCATCTCGCCGTCCCATTTCGGTGATGACGGCGGTGACGGTGTCCGCGACATAACGTCTGGCGTCACTGCACGCTTCTGCGCTGGTGTTGCCTCGGGCTGCGTCAAACTGTCGTCCCTCTGATCGCAGTTGCTCGGTATTTTCTGTACTCGCGCTGCCCGCAATGGGCTATGCTGCGTCTACCGGCATTATTCAAGTGGTAACCTGCCCCCATCGATGTTGACACACCTTGCTTGATGGGTGATGTATGCTACTGGGGACTTCCAAGGCCGGCTCGTCTTGGTTCGTCGGTTGCATCTTGAACGAGGACTTGATGATCGGTGTGTTACGGGGAAGGATTTCGGCAGCGGCTGGCTCGGGCACGACTGGTGTGGGCTCGTTGTTGGCTGCCGTCTTGCGCTTGGCAAAAGGATTCACGATCGCGCGCGCGCGCCACTTGTTGGTGGACCCGTTCACATCGCTGTACAAGCGCGACTGCCGAAGAGGTATGTTGACGCTGCTGGATATTGCCTCAAAGCTTCCACTCGTTTCAGGGCAAGCTTCCATGACTTGGTGCACTGGCGTCGCACTCGGTGCGTCGCCGCTCACGACGGGAAGTGCCAGAGGCTTTACAGGGCTCAAGCTCAGCGGACAGCTCAACGATTTTGAGATTGACGGCGCCGCAATCGGCCACTCGGTCTCGATGGCATGTTGCTGGTTATTGCCAAGGTCGGCGAGCGGTGCGAGCTTGGATGGCGGTTTGAGGCCGCCCGAGTTGGAGGCCCGCAGCGGGTTCGACATGCTGTGGTACACGGCTGGCTTTTGCCACGTGACGCTCTGCGTGCTCACGCCCCGGGCCTTGGCCTTCATCCAGTCGGGTATCGGCAAGAGCGGCGCTCCGTCCGCAGGCTCGAGGATGGGCATGGCGGCCAAGTAAAAATACCCGCGGCAGTTGTGTTTGAAAAGTATCTTTCCCGCGAGATGATTGGCGGAAATGTTGAGGCCAAGTGGCACATCACCTATGTGCTGTATGGTGCAAAAATGTTTTTAACCAATGGCATCGCGCGCTTGTGTTTCGCAAGCAAGATCCGTCAGTCGACGGGCGAGCCTCATGCATCGGAAAGCCGTGTACGTGGCCGCGACGCGCCAGCACGTTGGCAAGACGAGCACCTGCCTCGGGCTGCTCCAGGGCCTTACCAACCGCTTCGAGAACATTGGCTACATCAAGCCCGTCGGCCAGCAGTCCGTGCTCGTGTCCGGAAACCTCCGCGTCGACAGGGACGTCCGCGTCGCCAAAGGTGCGCCGCCACCTTACCGCCGCCTTTCACCCAATCCAAACTAGAGGTCTTCAACCTCAAGAACTGCGACTACGCCGACATGAGCCCCGTCGTCATTCCGAGCGGCTACACACGCGAGTACCTCGACGGCAAAATCTCGCTCGAGTCGCAGCTTGAGAAGATTAGCTCGAGTTTCAACCGCATCGCTGCCCGCAACGATGTGCGTAGACTGCTACGTGGCATATTGCGCATCTCATCTGCTTTTGGTCGAGTAGTTTACCGTCGTGGAAGGCACGGGGCACACGGGCGTCGGATCGATCGTCAACGTCAACAACGCCCGTGTCGCCGCCGAGCTCGGTCTGGACATGATCCTCATTGCGAACGGTGGCATTGGCTCTGCGTTTGACGACCTCGCGCTCAACCGGTACGTCTTCTTGTCCATCATATTGTCGTGATGGTGCGCACAGGGTCATGTGCAAGGAGTATGGCGTCAAGATTTGCGGTGTCATTCTCAACAAAGTCCGCGCCGATGTACTGATCACGCTCGCGGTGCATTCCAACTTCAATTCATATTGTGCTAGAAAATGGACATGATGTGGGACTACTTCCCAAAGGCTCTCAAGCAGTGGGATGTGCCCCTCCTCGGTGTCGTGCCCGACCTCGTACGGTGCAAATACTTGTCGCTAGCAATATCATTGCGTGTATGTAGCCACGCCTCGCGCAGCCGTCGATGCTGGACTTCGAAGAGTTGTTTGGCACCAAGCTCCTGAGCGGCTCGAACCGCCGCATGACGCAGTTCCGCAACATCTCGCTCGTCACGTCGGGCTTGCGGCGCTTCCTCGTCAAGCTCTCGTCGCACGAGTTTAATGACACGCTCTTCGTCACGCACGCGTCCCGGAACGACATCATCCTGGGGTTTCTCTCCCACAGCCAAAACTACGAGCTCAAGACAGGCCGCGAGTTTGGCGGCGGCTTGATCCTCACGGGCCGCCCGCCCGTGGACCAGCCCCAAGACTACATCATGGAGATCATTTCTCGGTCGACGTCCCCCGTGTTGTATGCACCGCTGACGACGTACCGCGCCATGGACCTCATGACGGGGTTTACAGGTACCTTGCATTTTCTCCCGTCGACAATGCATACCTACGAATGCCACAACTAGCCAAGTTTAACGCGACGGACGTCGGAAAGGTCCTGACGTGTGCCAAGCACTATGAGAACTTTGTCAAGTTTGACACTCTCCTGCAATAATATGACACGTGATGACGCGAATCTACTCCCGTAAGTTGCTAGCCGCGCGATCGGTCCTCGTGCGCGCCGACGACATAGACCTCGATAGATTAGGGATCGGGTTGCAAACAGTCGTCATTGCACCGATCCAACGTGTATCTCCCTTTCGAGCAATCTAAAACCCACAAGAAGAAAGAGACAACAAAACGACAAGGGATTATTAGATGGGTGATTAAACAAACCGGCGAATGCGGGTCGTGATGGGGTCCCGGCAGTTGGGGCAGTTGACGATTTGCGTCGAGCAGAGCATGCACGTCTCGTGGCCGCAAGCAAACACCGTGTCCTTGCAGCGTTCCATGCAGATGCAGCAGAGCGACGCTTCTTCCAAGCTTCGAATGCGCTGCTTGAGCGATGTCACAGCCGCGTCGCTAGCCAGCGGGATCGCTACCATCTCACACGCCTTGCAGACGCCCGACGAGACACCGTGACCACAGCTGGGCGCATCCACTGGCGCACGATCCAGCGACAGCAGCAGCGCCCGTGCCTCCGGTGCGGCCATGTCCATCGCGGTAAGACCCGACTACGCACAGCGCCTCTGAGTGCGATGCAAATGAAACAAAGGACGGCGTACATTTGAGCGAAGGCTCGTGTCGGCTCCGGCGCGCAAAAGCGCGGCGAGGATCGGGAGCCGCGTGTACTTGGCAGCCTCGTGCAGGGGTGTCATGCCATCCTACACACCGCGTTCTCCATGGACAAGCTATTGCCGACAGTCCGCGCACCATGTTGGCGCGGTTGACATCAATGTCGGGATGCTCCAACAGCAAATCCACGAGGTCGCTTTGGTTGTACCACGCAGCATACGAGAGAAGGGTCCAGTCGCGCTACAAGAGAATTTTCAGTTCGTACGTGGACATCCCTGTACACGCACCGGGCCGAACGGCTCGTTGATGTTCGTGATCGAGCGGCTTGTGATGCGACGCTTGACTTCGTTCCACTTGCCGTGGAGCGCACACTCGCCGACGGTCTTGCCCGGTGTCTGCAGAATGAGCGCCCGGCCTTCGGCAGAAGCCATATCAATAGGCAGCAGCCCGGCCTATCGCACGGATGTGCTCTTAGCTCTGTAGCGGCTAGACTCGCGTCAGGATACGTTGTTGCGCAAAGCCGTGTTGGCCCCCGATCGCAGGAGCGTCGTGAGAATTGGGAGACGGTTGTACTTGGCAGCCTCGTGCAGAGGCGTCATGCCATCCTACGTGCGTTGTGATGGGACCAAATGCTTGCTCGATGGGTAGCGTACCATGTTGGCTTGGTTGATGTCGATGCCGCGGTAGCCAAGAAGGAGGTCGACAAGGTCGACTTGGTTGTACCACACGGTAAAGGCCAAGAGCGTCCAGTCGCGCTAGCATGGACTGCGCGTTCGATGTGAGTATCGTGGCAGGAGCACGTACCGCGCCAAAGGGCTCGTTGATGTTGTCGATCGACTGGCTCGTGATGCGCCGCTTGACCTCATTCCACTTGCCATGAAGCGCGCACTCGCCCACCGTGAACATGCGTCCGCGAAGCAATTCCCGCACTTGCATGCGCTTGGCGACTGCAAACGGCTTGTCTCCATTCTACACCCAACCGTGGCGACGTTGTTTGAGACAGGTTGGGTAACGTGCCTTGTTGGTCAGCTGCGGATTCGCGCCCGCCGCGAGAAGCCCCTTGACGACGTCGAACTGCCCTGCTTTGGCTGCCTCGTGCAACGGTGTCGAGCCATCCTACGCATGTGTCGCTTCCGCGTGCCGAGATGCGCATTACCTTGTTCTTAGCGTTCATATCCGCGCCCGCGCCGATGAGATCTTGGCAGACGTCGAAATGGCCGTGCTTGGCAGCCTCGTGCAGTGGCGTCGTCCGATCCTACGTACTCGCATGAGCAACGAGGGGATGCGCATGTCCTCGTACGCGACTGCCCTTGTCAACGTCAATGTCGTTGCAGCCGAGCAAGAGATGCACAATCTCATGCTGCCCATGGCGGGCGGCGAGGGCCAGCGCCGTCGCGTCCGTCTACGATACAGCGCATGAGTCGACGGATCGATGGCCATCGAATGACGCACGACGCCCGCGGTCACATTGACGTCGGCCACAGCATGCGTCTTCAAGCGCTCTTCCAGCTCGGGCCAGCTTTCGCGCAGCGCGAGGTCTGCGATCGAGGTCGCCATCGCTTCGGTTGTTTGCTCCGAGATGGGATTTGGACCACTATTGGCCAATGGGAACCGCGCAATTAACAGGGCGCTGTGGGATTGGTCGTAATAAGGCCAGCGCAAACTGGCTCAAACGGTCGGTACCTGAGCGTAGAGGCCAAGGAGCACGCAAGAAGCACATGGGCTGCATACGTCATCGCGTGTGTTTAAACTCGACGAACGGCAGACAACAAGAAACGACGGCGAGCCAAATGATAGAGTCGTGGGGACGTCTCTACTAGCAACATCGACGATGGAGAAGATGCAAGCTGGGTGAAGGCTACGTTGAGCGGACAGGTGTACTCAAAAGCGAACCTTGAACTTGAAGCTGGGAAAGGCTTCCTCGCCTGATGATTGGCCAACGAATACCGCGCGTGGCAAACTTGCCCACAAGATCGCAATGGGTCCAGTTGCCGTTCGTTGGCGGGTCCATTGGTCGAAGTGTAGCTGCAATAGAAGCAAGGCGACCGACGAGACGCATTGCCTTCGTGGGGGCTTAATTGCGCGTGCCGAGTTTCTGTAGCAGACGACATGCGCAAACGATGATGGGTTGATGGGATCGCCCGCCTTGGACGTACCCATACAGCGTGCCGAGAGCGGCTGTTGCGCCTAGTCAAACAGGCTTCTTGACTAGGCAATCCGTTGCTCCTCGTTTCCTGCTTAGTGTAGCAAGGTCTTTGGGGCGGTAGAAGGACGCGTGGTCACCGCATATGTAGACGCCATGGCATTAGGGTAGGTTCATACAAAGCGTCGGATCCGGACGTTGATGGGCTTTCGGCAGGTGGGGCAGTTCTTCATCTTTGTGGCGCACGCGCCGCAGGTTTCGTGGCCGCAGAGAAACACTGTGTCCTTTACGAGCTCTTCGCAGATGCTGCAAAGCGTCGCTTCGTGCAGTCGCTCGACCTCGGCCTCGAGAGCTGCAATGTCGCCCGGGCCCTTGGCACTGCTTGCAAATTCAAACTCGCACATGGCGCAGTGCGCGTCGTAGATGCCGTTGGCATACGTGCACTGGGGGCACACGAGACCATCCTTGGCTGCGGTCAGACGGTGTCGCGGTACCATGCCCTCCATTGCCTCGAGAAGGCGGCGGCACTCGACCGTAGCGACGTCTCTCGGAGTCTCGTCGCTCTACTGTATCGTTCAATTTCCGCGAGCTAGCCATGAAAGCACCTTGGTTTTCGATCGCGTGTTGGCGCCTGCGTGCAGGAGCAAGGCCAAGATAGCGATGCGGTTCTTCGCTGCGGCTTCGTGCAGCGCCGTGCGTCCATCCTAGAGGCTCTGTGATCTACACCGTCCACAGGATGTTATGTCCATACGATGTTGGCCGCATTGAGGTCGACGCCGTCGTACTCGATGAGGCGTCGCACGACGGAGAGCTTGTCGTGGCGCGCTGCCAAGCTTAGCAGCGTGTACCGCTTCTGTTTGCAAATCAAGTTGGCTGTGCATTGACAAGCATGAAGGACCCACCTCGCCGATCCGAGTGTTGATGTCGGTGATTGACCGCGCGTCCACGCGCCGCGCAACGTCGCTCCACAAGCCACGCTGTGCGCATTCGCCAAACGAGAGATCCGAGGCTAGCAACATACGGAAGCGCCCGTCCGTGGTCGCAAGCTGGATCGGCAACTGGCCTTCCTACAACTCCCATGAGCTACTCCTGTAATGATACCTGACGTGCCTTGTTTTTCAAAAGCGCATTGGCCCCAGCTTCAACGAGTGCGACGAGGACGTCGTGGTGGTCGCGTTGCGCGGCTTCATGCAGGGCTGTCATTCCATCCTACGTAGAATCCAAATCGGTCCATGTACGCCGAAAGACGCAGTACCTTGTTGGCTCTGTTGATGTCGACGCCGTCGCAGCGCAAGAGATGGTGCACGAGCGCTCCCTGGTTTTCTCTCGCGGCGTACGACAAGAGCGTCCACCGAGGCTAGATCCGATCGTATCAAGGGTAGGCCATCGATGCAGAATTGTACAATGCCAAAGACAATATTGACGTCGGCAAGCGTATGCGTCGCCGCCCGCCGCTCGAGCTCCCGCCAGTCACCGCGAAGCGCACAGTCCGCGTCGGACGCCATCGCGGCCTGCAGGAGGGTGCGCATGGCCACGTCGATCGTCACGTCGATGGGCAGACGGCCCGCCTATTCGCAACACCTTGCCATGCGTCCTAGAGCGCTGCAGAGCCGCACCTTGTCCTTGATGTGCGGGTTGGCGTTGGCGTACAAGAGACCTCGCACCATGGCGTCGCAGTCCGCTTCGGTGGCATAGTGCAACGGCGTACGGCCATGCTACCGGCAGCCATTCAAGCCTCCGGGGAAATTGCTGCGCGGGCACCTTGTCTATCGCGTTGATGTTGGCGTAGCTGCGCAAGAGCGCGTCGGCAATCGGCCACCGGCCGCGGCTCGCTGCTTCGTGCAGCGGCGTTCGCCCCATCTATAACACCCGTTAGCGTACGACTTCTACCGAGCCTAGCATACATCGTTGGCCTTGTCGACGTCGATGTCCACGTGGCACAGGAGCTGCTCAAGCACGTCAGCTTGTCCGTACTGGACCGCGAACGAGAGCGCAGTGGCGTCGTGCTACAGTCGTGGTGAGAGACGAAGAGGACGGATGAGGTGCGGTAAGTACGAGGCCGGCCGTGGCGTTGACGTCGCCGAGCGTATGGTTGCGCAGCCATGCCTCGACACGCGGCCATGCTCCGCTCTCTGCGAGAGCTGCGATCGTCGCTGGCGCCATCGTCATACTGTGAGATGGCGAGGAAGGCAAAGTCTTCCGACTTGATTGTTTGGGTCACATGATAGTTTTGCCTCGTTTGTCCCAGGCAAGAATGTGTGTTTATCCCATCCCAGCGCAAGAATGATGCTCGCCGTGCAGCGCGCTGCCGTAGTAGCAGGAAGCGCATGATCGTCCCGGATATACGAGTAGCTCTTCGCTCGCTGAACCTGGATATGCGAGCCAGCAGTCGTCACAGAGGTGGTGATGCTCGTTCCCATGTAAAAGAGGCTCGTTCGACTGTCAAAGCTAGAAAGATCGCTTCGGACACTATGATTGGATGAAATCCACCAAGGTCAGCCCACCCATTGGCCAGCGTTTGGATTTTCGATCTTACTTCATGGACGAGGTGGCCTTTCCAGCCATTGACCGGGCCAAGCGCAGGTTCCTCAAGCGTACGGCGCCGCTTCGAACCACCAGACGTTCCCATCATAGCGGCTGCGACCCGAGCGAAGGCGACGCCGGTGCGCTTTTGCGCTCCCTCTACCGGGCGCTCGACGCCGATCTTGCGGGCCGATATGCGCCACCGGTCATTGACCTGCCGGCGCTTGAAACTAGCTACGCGGAGCTGCTCGTGCTTCTGGACACACCCATCACGCTGCCTGAGCTCGAGTCGCGTGTCGCCGCATTGCCATCTCCGAGTGCTCCACCTCCGTGTAGTGAGGTGGGTACCAACACGGACAAGACGATCGCACGGTCGGCAGCGACACAAACACCGTCGCCAACGTTGTGTGCAGTGCGGATCCAGCGGCAATTCCGACGCTATCTTACCTCGGCGTTGTTTCGCGGCGGTCGCGGCCAGTGGCAACGATATGTCCAGTTCCAGCGCCGGCCACGCGCCTTCGTGTCGCGTGGTCTCTGGCGTGCGTGGCAGCACTACACCTTTGAGCGCAGGCAATGGCAAGGACGCGCCGCTACGCACGTCGTTGACTCGAGGGATGATGTTCTTGCTCGGCGCGCCGCAATCAAGGCGCTGGATGGCGTCTATGGAGTGGCCAAAGCCCACGACAGTCGCCAGCGCCAACGACGCGCGTTCAGCGCATGGGTGCGATGGATCGCCTTGCGACCGCGCGATCGGTACTATTAGCAGTCGCGTCTTGCATTGCAGGACGGACAAAAATGCTGGGTGGACCAATGTCACGAGTGCATAAGTCACGCGCGACGGGTCTAGTGGGATAGCTTGGAGCGTTGACTAAGTTAAGAAGTTAAATATGACGCTGCGGTCACGCTGCCGACGCGAGGTGCATCTCGAGAGCTGCCGAGTCGAAGCTAATGCGGTCGTCATTCAACGACGACGCGCTGCCGTCGTCGTCTTCCGAGAGGCCGATCGAGAGCTCGCTCTCTTGGCCGTACGAGCAGCCGCTGTGCCACTGAGACCAAGACGACTGGGCGCTCAAGCGAATCATTTCATGCTCTCCGCGCATCGTCGTCGTTGGCTGCTGCGCGTGTGCGTACGGCTTGGGCTCCATGAGCGGCGGCACGGACCAGCTTGTTGTCCAGGGATTCGGATACGTCGTGCGCCCATTGCAGTGTCGATTGGCCTCGTCTTCGGCCGCGGCGTCACCGGGGCGGTAATGAAACGCAGACCAGCGAGAGAGAACTTTGGACGGGATGCCGTCGCGCGAGAGCACGATGACGTCTGCGTCATCCTCGTCGTCGCCCCCGCCGTACGTACTAAGCTGATCGACATTGGTTTCGCGGCCCTCGCTAAGCATGCTGAGCTTGGTCATGTGGATGCTCACGGGTGGTTCCACGGAGCTATAAGCGCTCGTCACGATGTGGTCGCAGGGCGTGAGCACCTCGAGAAGCACGACGCTGCTCATGCCATCGCCGATGCTCGATCGGTCGTCGTCGTCATTGGGGTCGGTGGGCGCCATCGGGCGCTCAAGCGGTTTGTTGGCCGCGCGTCGCATGTAGATCATGCCGAAGACCAGCAGGACGAGGACGAGGTTGGCCGAGATGACTAAGCTGTAGACCACGACGTTGTCGCTGACGGGCGCGACGATCGGCGTGTCGTTCAACGCGGCGGACCCGGACGAGAGGCTCATGGCCAGGCCGAATTGGCATCTGCGGTCGTTTGGCTTCTGGCACCATTCTGCCATTCTGTGGCCGGCGCCGGAGACCAAGATGAGAGAGAGGCAGTTTCATTTGGCACTGGCTTCAACTTGCCAAGAAGAGGATATCGTCATTTCCTGGAGATCGCAACAGGTGTCGCTCGATCGTTGTAGTATCTCGGCGGCTTTCAAGCACACCCTGTCGTCACCAGCTTGGTGCGATACGACAGCGTCTGCAGGCTGCCGAGACGTCGATCGACCAGAGTAAGTACTTATCTAAGTGATATTCAGGTCCGGGTCCGAATGGGTCTCGGACCTGGTACCCATATACCTTACGACAAAGGCACCGACCCTTCCTTGCGTACGACACAAGTACACCAAAATCGACAGAAAGAC